AATTACTGAGCATTTAATTTTTTAATTCATTTTAATGCTAGAGGCATCTCAGTCGTTATATCATGTCGAAATAAACCTGATAAAACTTCAGAATATTGCAATAAAATGCTTTGAATACAACCTAAAAATAAGGAAGACAAAGAATGTACCTCTTTTGTAGATAAACTATCATTACTGTTGAATTAATGGGCTTAGGGTTGTAAAGACTGGACATTGTCGAACCCATATAGCTTATTCTAGCTTTTGGACAAACCAATTTATCTATTCTTCTCAAGCTACATCTTGACCTTGTTAATTATTCGCTCATCAATCTTAACTGTTTTTATGTAAGCGTATGTATGTGCATTTCCTTTCTTACTCATCACATGTCGGCAACTCATTTTTATCTGACTATAAATATGGATTAATGCTTGATTAAATCGAGTTGGCTTACATGTCTTCTCCACTACGTGTCATTTCACTTCACTCTCGTCTCTACGTTTCGTTTCTTCGCTTGTTTTTCTAGATCAACGATTGTGCGAAATATGCGTATTAAAAATTCATTCTCATATTTGATTTATTTAGTTCCGTTATTCACTTACGCGATTTAAGTCGATAATTTTATATGGGAGTTGGCTATATATAAGTATTTAGATAACAGTCAATCATACGATCTAACTGGAGTTAAATATCAGATCATTAAAGGGTACATCTTAAAGATGCTAATTCTTAATGACTTTTCGATACTAATTTTAACGAATTATCAAACCAATTTTAGCTTTGGAAAAAATACTGTTGATGCTTCGGTTGATTTTTTTCTACATTATATTTGATTTCGATCAAAAATAACCTAGAATGATGTCAGTCATATTACAGGATCAGTAGTGGAAATTATTTTATCCACACATGCTGAGTGTTTGTATTTGAAAGTATGAAGGGGACTTGAGTTCAATATCTTATGTCTTTTGAACAGTCAAACAAAATAGGTTATGTTCTAGTGATTGATTGCATATAGTTATTAGATGATTATGCGAAACCGATGGATCTTGGCTACTTGTGAAATGCATGACACATGCTTCACCAGACTCGGTTATATTCAGCTGTATGAAAATGCGTCGGTGTTTTGATGTTTACGCCAAAACTGTAAAAAGCTACGAATTATTCAACCAGCTACCAAGTCCAGATTGTCACCAAATTATTCAATAGGTATAACGCCTGCAGCTGATAATTTCTAAATAAGATAAAACCCATGTCATCGATTCCACTGATAGTCGGAATCCATCTTTTCTGTATGGCATATAGTAAAATGACTATGTCAATGCAATCCACGCAAGGTAAATATATGGTAACAGAGACTCAACAGAATCGAGTCAAGGATACAAAATCCTAACCATTTTCGATATAATTATATGAATTGAATGGTTCTACACGTGGCTGACATGAGGAGGCTCAACGACTGATCATAATATTATCATTAGCATAGTCACAGTTTAGTTGAGTTACTTTGAGGCCTAAATTATAAAGTGTATAAATTGTACTAATTAATGTTTTTTTATGTATTCTTTATATTTTATTACTTGTAATAATAGATTATTTACGTTGGATTTACTTAACGAATATTTCATCCGAACATTTAACAAACAATGGCAGCGCATTCAATTAATCCATAAACTGAGTTAGGAATTTACAATTTGCATGCTCATCCGGAACTAGCCTATCATGTTATTTATGAATTACGAATAAGCTTCTCAACTAAAGTTACCATTTACTTTGCTTCTCAAAGAACTACATTCTTTTGAGTTACAACATATTTTCAAATCATTACATCGAACACTGTATCTTAAATGTACTGAGTTATATTTATCAAGCTCAAGTGGATGGACTAGTGTTTCCTCATATTAAACCTTTGATAATAAATTTGATAAAATGCGCCTACTTGAAATGTTTGTTTCTATAAACTAAGCATATTTCCACTTTCATTGCCAGAATGAAGGTTTTCGGAAAATGTAGTAATTTAATGGTTGAATTCATGAGTTTGTTTATGTTAGACCACCCTGGAAAACCTGGAAGCACTGGGTGACCGAAACTCCCCAGCAAAGTTGCCCTCACGATCCCACATACTGTACATAAATCCAGAATTAAAGCTACATATTAACACCGTTGGATGATGGTCTAGAAGTTAGGCGTTCACGTGCAAACACGAAGGCTCTGGGTTTGAGTCCCGTGTGAGGGATCCCACGTGTACCCTGCTGACAAGCCCTATACTGGGACGAGATAGCCGTCCAGTGCTTCCAGGTTTAAATCTCTCAAAACGGAATTGTAGATGCGCACTACTGTGGAGTTCCACAGTAGGAAGAAACGGGCGTCCACAGCTTTCAGGTTTTCCATGGTCGTGTAGCTTCCATTGACTCACGATATCATCTATTGAAATTCTCTATTTTAGTTTACTAAATTGATGAATATAAGTTTTATTTTATTTAATACACTTTCAATTAAGTCTTAAATACTTTGTACATAATTCTCTATAGAAAAGCACAATTGTATTGTAACACATTAATATTCATTAATGAGAAATTAAGATTTCTCAACAACAAAAACAATTAATGAAATAATTAAACTTAATTAAATTATATTTAATCACTGTTAAGACTCATTGCTTTAAAAAAAGTTCTGTTTTGATTAATAATTTATGTATGAAATGAATGTTGCTTTATAGTTTTACTGTTAGATAGATAGTGAATCATAATAGATATATAACTAGGTCGATAATATAAATGCCTAGTTTTATTTAGCGTAAAATTGAAGTATTCTGATGTAAGTGTACATTAGAAGAGTGTTTATTAATGTAAGATACCTAGTTGTATTTGCTACATGTATCTACTAACGCAACACTCTTCATTAAGGAAATATTTTCAGAAAAATTAAGTTTTCCATTCAATAAATTTGAAGTGTTGTATGTCAATTGTTATGGAAATTTCTTTCCTTTAATTAGTATAATCTTATTAGTGGATCAGTATTTGTCAGTTGACACTATAGATTACGGTTTAAAAATGAAGATGAATAAAATTTCCAAAGTATTAAGGACTGAATAAGTAACACTGAACTTCCTTTTTGTAGTAAATAATTTCAAGTGTTTCTATGTTCATTTATAAAAGAATTAGTAGAGTGTACTTGTAAAACAACATTTTAATTAAGAGGTCATATTAACGAGGTGTCTTGCGGATATGTTTAAGGCACATAAACTATTGGGAACTAATTAAACATTTAGTTAAAATTCGTTGATATAAGTAACATATATTTTGCTGTACAATCCATCATAAACTTATTTATTTTAAAGAGAATAATAATTAGGCAGCAACATGCCACTTAATTCTAACTGTGAAGTTAAAGATGTTGGATAATGAAAAAACAAACTGGAATCTTGAAATTCTAACATTTCTTATACTTTGACAGGAATCTATGACGTAATATCGTTCATTCGTTTATGGAAAGGAAGATGAAATCGTAAAATGTCAAATATACTACTCGTTTTTAATTTCACTTAAACACAGTGTTCTCAAAGTATCTTTAATGAATAGTATATTTAACTATTAGATTGTTATTCGGTTGAAAATGATGTTCGAATGACTGTATTATTAACTTATTTAATACGATTATTTACTAGCATATTGTTGTAACGTGAGATGCTGGTGATTGGAGGTTAGCGAATTATGGATCGATTCAAAGACTCCTAAGACACGCAAGAACGACCTAGAGTCCTGATTGGCCCCGCTTCCCTGTCTAGCCCAGCTAGTTGAATCCAGAACGCAAGTCTCAGCCTCAGCGATATGAATCACTATATTTCAGACATACTCTGTTTATATACCAATCAAACGGACCACATCGTACCATAAAATAGAAAAAAAAACATTTGTACAATATTTGACAAGTGAAATAAATACTGACCAATAGGAAACGTCCAGTTAAAGCCCAAGGACACCATTAGACTTAACAGGATAATTACTGGGATGTTTTTCTGAATATCCCAACATATATCAATGCTATTTTCTTTTACAAATAACAGGAAAAGCATGCATTTTATAATTAAAATCTGCTTCGTTACATATAAAAAATTGATTGGGAAAAAAAGGGATACGCTTGAAAAACTTGATCAGAAATCCTATTTTCCACGTTATTTAAAAATTATTTAAATGAATAGTATTTACATTTATTTTTAATTCAAGTAAACAGTTATTCAAAATAATCGAATTTTAATTAGTTCTTCATTAAGAACGGCTTATATTAGTAGTATAAGACAGAAATTGAATTCATTTGGTGTTGTTTGCTTTTATCATCCTATTGTTGTTTACGACTGAAAATTGATCAGTCAGTAGGTACATCTAGCTGACGTGTCCCAATTAGGACCAAACGCGCATCTATGATTCTACTGCTAGCCACTGTCCATCTTTGCTTATAAAGACTAAAATTAGTTTCGTGTATTTAAAAGTTTGGATGTTTGAATCAAGTTAAAATGTATGCTACTTATTTAGTTATAAATCTCAGATGAAATTATATTATTATTTTCCAACAGATTTTTTATGACAGTAAATTAAGAATGTTAATTTAAAGATGGCACCTTTCTTTGCAAGTTAATGGGTTACACGTGATATGCATACTTACAAATCCTTACACTGAATAACATTTAATTAGAATTATAACAAATATGCTTCACATTTGTTTATTGCATAACAATAACTCTCCCCTGAACAGGGGAGAGTTTCCTTATCAATGATTTCATCTCCAAAACTGTATAACTGCATATATATATATATATATATATATATATATATATATAACACTTGTTCCATTATTATTGACTATCTGAGTGAATATATCTGCTGTATACAGAGATCTTATTTATTATTATTGATTTCTTTATGGGTTATTAATAGATCAAAATGTTCATCCTAATTTATGTTACAGTTTGACATCAATCGAAGAAATACATTGTCAAGTAGTAACAAAAAATGCATATAGATTTACATTATTTATGTTGTCATTTTTGAAAATAAAATTTAATAAACCTAATTCAATTTTATGAATAGTAATAAACACTTATTCTTTTTTGTATGGAAGTAATTTTGATGAAAAGATGTATGGTCCATAATGTAGTTGTCTGTTTTTTTCTTTTGGTTGCTGTTGTTGTTGTTGACGTAAATGATAAATTGTTCGTATAATTTATTGATAATTTTGTTTTTCATTCTATTCTTTTTCCTGTATAACGTTTTCTAATTAGTAAACAATGAATTTTTCATGCAATTGGTTCCCTTTATGAATTTAAATAGAGCAAGAACAAACACTGATGCAGAATAGTATGAATTCATATTATTTCGAGGTTTCTCGTCAGCTGCTTACAAACCAAAATTGTGATAGAATTTTTTACATGGAGATAGTGTGAAACAATTGACATGAGTGTAAATAACTGGATTACAATAATAACTATATATATATATATATATATGCTAGAAACAGGTCAGAGGTCAAAAAAAGGGGTTAATTCAGGTTGGGTGGTGTAATAGTTTAGTGAAGTTCATAAATTGTGTGATAAATAGAGAGATTAATGGAACTGAATAATGATAAGGTAGATTACGTAATAATAATTAAATAGAATTTCAAAAGTTAAGATAATTTAAGAGGACCAGGTGGTGGAAATGTGTGAATAAAATTTTAGTTTAAGAATTAGGTAATAGGGGGAAGGAGTATAAAATATCTTAAAATAAGTAAATGAATAAAATAACCAAAACACAAAACAAACAGAAACAAACGGAAATAAAAGAGATTACCAGGGTAGTGATAAGTTTATTAAAGTCTCTTTTTGAATGCATAAATCCGGTTTCAGTTTCTTAATTGTAATGGCTTCAGCAAAGCGGAGAGTGGTAGAACTTCTTTGTCTATTGGTAATTTTAAACGCGTGCAGAATATCGACGGTATGCCCGGTGTCAAATAGATGCCGAGCTATTGCACTGTTGAAAGCTTTAGTCCCTCGCAGTGTCAAGTTCTTCGGAATATGCTCAGAAATGCGAGCCTGTATTCTTCTCTCAGTTCTTCCAATGTATGTGCTACGGCACGTACATGTGAATTGGTAAATGCAGTTGGAGCAACTGAGGGGAGAGGACTTGTCGATCTTTGTTTGTTTCAGTGAGCAGTGAATTTTTAAACATTACCACTTTATTCAATTATGATTTATTAATATTTCAAATAGTTATGGTTATATTTTCCTTGAAAAAGCTTGAACTAGATCGTCAGGTGAAAAGTTGGATTTATTTCAAATTCTTTCGCTGAGATTTTACAAATACGTGCTTCCTCTTTAATAACTATGGTTTTGTTTATTCTGTTGTTAACCTAGTAAAGTATGTAAACTAACCTTTTTCAAATATGATTTAATTGTGAAAGGAAAGAATAGATTTATAATTTGAAAATTAATTTTTTATTTCATTTTTACAAAGTAAGTGGTGATTGAATTATACCTGTTATCACATAAAAGTAGGATAAAATACACTGAAAAGTATTAAACCTATAAGTTTATCACTTGGTAATAATATAATATGATTAAATCAAGGGGAAGAATATCAGTCTTACATATCCTTTACAAACACTTATAAGTAAGAGCGGCATATTTACAATTGAAGAACATCTGGAACTCAGAACAATTGTCAACCAACACCAATGTCAGAATTTTCAATACAAACGTCAAAACAGTTCTACTGTATGGGATAGAAACCTGGAGAACTAGGAATGCCATCATCCAGAAGATACAAGTGTTTATTAACAGTTGTCTACACAAAATACTTCGGATCCGTTGACCAGACACTATTAGCAACAATCTACTATGGGAGGGAACAAACCAGATGCTAGCGGAGGAAGAAATCATGAAGAAGCACTGGAAGTCGATAGGATACACATTGAGGAAAGCACCCAACTGTGTCACAAAGCAAGCCTTCACACAAAATTCTGAAGGCCAAAGGAGGAGAGGAAGACCAAAGAACACATTACGCCGAGAAATGGAGACAAACATGAGAAGAATGAACAAACATTGGATCGAACTAGAAAGGAAGGCTCAGGACAGAGTGGGTTGGACAATGCTGGTCGGCGGCCTATGCTCCATTAGGAGTAACAAGCATAAGTAAGTAAGTAAGACACTTATAAGTTGAAGAATGTCATTCTATTTGACAAGATCAACTATTCTTAATTCTGTGTTTAGAGTGAATTCAATTTCTTCAAAGATGTTATATCACTCAATCCTATGATATGAATTTAATGGAATACCAGTGTTACTCGCTATCCATATCTCCTACTTAATTAATAGTATGCTATATATCAATGTTTATGATTATAATTCAACAACATTCTTAAAGAAACAATCATTAAAAAGTGGTCATTATTAAAAGTGAGAACAGAAAACAAAAAATCAGCACATTAAAATGTATTTGAGCGTAATTTTGAAAAAGAAGAAAAGAAAAGAAAACCATTATGTACAACATAAAAATATTCATAGGAGTAGTTCTCAGTCACATGTTGCTTATGTATAACATTACAATCAAATCAAAATAATAGTATTTTCACCATTTTCCCCCAGTAAATGAAGTTGAAAATGAGGAGTAAACAGGGAAGATTAAATTTATCTATGACAAAATCATTACAATCAAATGTTATTAAATTATTAAAGATAGAATCAATTAAGTATAATATTCACTATATAGAAATTTCTAATCATTTTCTAACTTTGAATTTATGGTACAAAGTTTTATATTATTATCTTTGTTCTTAGTAATACCTAATGGAAAATTATTTTCTTCTTGTGAGCTTTCACTTATATACACTTCACCACAATCAATATTTGTGTGGTTGATAGAAATTGGATTATATTTAATTGTTGAACTGCCAAAAACTGTATTATCATACGGACTTAACCTCTCTGTAAGATTGTAATTTTGATTAAATGCAGACATCTTCATTTCAGGTAGTTCTTCATGGTGTCTATTGGGCATGAATGATACATTAGTATCATTAATCTAGATAAATACATAAAATAGTGAATTAGAAAATATGAAATTAGGATGCATATATAAAGGTATCATTAACATTTGAGAAAAAACAAGAGCATGGTTTGTCACTTTATTCAATGAAACGATTATCAGAAATTAGATGTTTTCGATCGCTTTGACAATACAACAAATTTACCATAATACTTACTTACTTACGCCTGTTACTCTTCGTGGAGTAGCACAGGCCGCCCACCGGCACTCTTCATCTAACATCTTCCTGGGTAATCCTTTCCAGTTCTTTTCTTTTACTATTCATCCTTTTCGTAGATGACTCCGATTCTTCATTTCCGTTTCCCTTCAGGATTCAAAGTTAAGGCTCTCCTTGTGACTCAGTTTAGTGATTTTTACAACAGATAGCTATTTATGATTAAGATCAAATACAACGAAGTTGAACAAACAGTCTTACACTAAACCATGAAATATTTGGAAAATTACGCTTGAGATTTAATGGAAGAAAATAATTGATTTTGTTGTCTATTTTAAGTCGTACAAAATAAAGTGAAATTGTGCTAAACTGATGTGTTTCTATGATAAACGATATTGTATACATAAACAAAAGTCAATTTGAAAAACTTTTAACATCAGAATACCGACTTCTAGTAATAAACTGGATATATGTTAAACAACATGAATAATTGAACTAATTTAATTTCGAAAATTCCTATATTATGATTTAGAACAACATAATATAAGTGAACAATATTGTTTCTGATTAGATCCTTATCACGCTTTACTTTAATATACAGTAATATTTGTATGCATATACGAAAATATTAAACCGATCAAGGTAGTTTATGAGCCTATGATAACAGTGGAATAGATTACATTAATAAACATAATAAATGAAAAGTAAGAATTCGTAATGAGATTACAAGTGTACTAGTTGTGATAAGAATAATAAACGCTTGAATCAATTTTACATAATGGGAAATAGGTCAATGATTAGGAAAGATATAGACACTGAAGTAACATTCATAAAAATTATAACATTACATAGTAAGAAGTGTTCAGATAATTGGACCGTGAAAAGTTTATTTGAGAAAAGGGTGGGAGGGGGTAGAGAAAAATAAACGAAGAAAGAGTATGGAAAATAATAATAATAAATAAAATCATTTATTAAGGCCAAGGGAGAGATAAAAGTGTTACAAATTTCTTATGAACACGACTTGGGTGGTTGACTTGAATTCCTATAGCTTCTGGTATGTGTAAGACACGAAACTGAACCCCATAAGGAAAACTAATGGGAATACAAGTAGTAACTTAAAATGACCTATTTCTGTTTACTACATGACCGCTATCGATCAGGTGTGATAGAACCGAGCTGCATATTGTCTTGACAGTATTATTTCCTAATCACGAAGGGAGGTATTCACTAACCCGTTGGCTTAGTTGTCTGATGGTGATCTCAATAAAGCTTTCTTCTCAGGAACAGTTAAATTTATAGATACATATGGATGTGGCAAAACCAGGTAACTTATCCTTTAGTTGACGAATCATCATAAACCAGGTTGAGTACGATTGATAGGGGCTGGCTGAATTAGACGTTCTCCTAACTGCTCTAGTCAATCTATCCCGTAGCACATCATAAGCTACATCTCCATTGAATTGCAGCTTCAGTGAGAGAGGTTTCTTGCTAGAAGTCGATCTCGCTAATTTTTTCGGTGCATACAAGTGTTTCTTCAGGAAACCTTGTGCATAACCCATTTCAATCAACACATTATGTATAAGCTCTAATTCCTTGTGAGTCGTATCGACTGAGCTAGGAAGATATGCTCAGTCGATACAATTTCATCTGATTATCTCATTATTATTTTAGTGAATTTAGGTACCTGATGTCTGAATAATATCAATTTTGATCGTTCACAGTATACATAACTTGTATGTTATTGTAGAGTGTGGTGTCAACGTTTCTTTTTTGAGATCTATGTTCAGTCATAATATGTTACTTTTTAAAATACTAGAATTCGTTATAGGGAATTAAAGAAGGATGCCAGAATATAAACATCGAGGACGTGTAGGACGAAAAAAGGTTGATAGTTGACCTACAAAACACTCATTTTTTGAAATCCTAAGCAACTTTTAATTCCTCCCCCCCAAAAAAAGTATTTTGAATTAACTTCATAAGTTATAAAGCTATTGCATTTCACTGTTCTCCCCGTTATCCCTTACATGCTACTGAAATGAAAAAAATAGAACAATTTACGAACATTTTTGTCCCAGATAACATGATAGAAAATTCTTTTTATTTGAACAAAATTTTGGTACTTTCCAGTTGAATATCATACTAATTTGTGTTACTATCCCCCATGCTAAAAATATATTTTATAAAATTTACTTAGTTTAGGTTCGTTATTTCTGTGAAAGGGAATTCAGTTATAATTTACATTTCAAGACCGTAACAACAGTAAATGTTGGATAAATTACTAAAATAAAGGTGATATCACCAGGAATTTTATATTATTTTTTTCGTTTAGTCATGCCACATTTATAAAATGACAGTCGTTACATGTTTAAAAAGATGAGCTAAGCAATCCTCCAACTTATCTGGAAGTTTTGCTTGTTTTTTTATCCAACGTTTCTTAATACTATAATGTTTGCATCACAACTACTACTCAGACACATTTGTTGTCTGTCTTCGTTTTACTCCTATAATACATTAAACAATATTGACATTACCGATAATTGATACCAATAAGATTGTTACTCAGCATGATGAATAAATGGCGAAGTCGGATGATACTGTTCCGCAGTTTCAGCAATAATATATTTTTAGTCATTCTGAATCAATAATCATCATATGGTTGCATCTCAAATAAGATTAGTCACTAGATCAGTAGTGATCATTCACCGTCACTTTGTATGTACCATAGATATTTACTGAATTATTACATATTGTCAAAGTTCCTAATTAATTTCTAATAACATTTGCATTAAAGTGGCAACATTAAGAACTAGAGTTATTTTATTATGCTACTAGCTAATCAGAACCCGTCAGGATGTAATTCTTTACATTTAGAGCTCGTAGACAAAATAAGTTGCATCCGTTTTGTAACTAACTTTAAGTATAATGAAAGTATAGCGAATGGTTAGCAATCCTAACACCTAGTTGTTGGCTTAGATAACAATAAAATACGAACTAACACATGAGCATGAATATTCAGTATAGAACTTGAATGTAGTGATTCAACTATCATATGTATATCAGAGTATGAAAATTTAAAGTTTGCTGGAAAATCATATCTATTTTTCTAAAGATATCCAACTTTTATAAGTAAACATTATTTTGTAAGATCATTTTGACAGTCATACATACTTCCTACTGTGATATTTTGGTCAAATCTGACAAGTAAACAAATACAGATGTAGAAATACATAATCTGGGTTTTTTCTAGCATGCATCACTTTTTGCATGTTCTTGATATACATTGTAAAAAAAGAAGTCTTGTTTGCTACCCCATAAATGTTACATATAATTCTGACAAAAGTATTATTGATATGATTATTTAGAAGTTTATTCCTATTATGTTAATCATAATAATCAATCATCTTTGATAGTCAATAATTAAAATCAATAAACCCCATAGGAAAATGAACAATGACCATTAAGATCATTTCTCTCTGAAGTATACATAATCAATAAACAGTCACTAAATAAGTAAAAAAAATTTTCTAAGATTCCATCTGTTATTTCATTCATTATATTGTATTCGGTTTAGTCAGTTTTAGACAAGAATGAATTGGTTTAAAGATAAGGAAGTTATCCCTTATCACTTGTCATTGACAGTAGCGTTAAATCATGTCTGTTTTTGCATTTATTATTATTATTATTAAGTTTGGCATTTTGCTGAAGTGAAACCTAATCTACTAGCTACTGGTCTTGTCTTTTGACATCACCAATCAATCAACACTCTGTTGATTGTTTTGATAATGAGAATATGCTTGTCATAAAACATTCTGAAAAAAATTCAGAAAAAAACAGTCTGTGGTTTGAATTTCAATCATCTGTAAAACATCATATGATTAAATGTCTGGGATTTAATAAAAAGATTCTCAGACTTTTCATTTTCTTAAAGAAATTATTTAATCAGTGTATACAGTACTGAAAAGCATTGTGATGTTTTGCAACTCTATTTAAGTCACAGAATGAGCACGGGATGTTCAGTGTCAATTAACTTGTGTTATTAATGAAGCAGTCATTATTGATTCTTCTAAATGATCGTCAACCTATACAAGTATCTGATCGAATTTGGGACGTTAAGATCTGGTGGCGATAAATAAAGTTCGAAGATTTGACCCCCGGCTTATTTTTTGGTATGCACCACTGAGAAGTCCCTCGGTGAAATGATTTGACCGATCTCTTATATGAGATTGATTTATGTTGAATATTAGGCCGCTACTATTAATAAAGCAGTTTAATTATTAGTTAGTTACGTATTTGGGTGCATTTCAAGTGTTATTGCTTGTTTTGCAAACTACTTGTAAAAAATTTTCCTCTGCATTAAATGGAAGGTGAAGTTTAATATCTTGATTAAATCAATATGTTAGTCATACATATAAGTCACTCTTATAGGTGCAATCCGATTGTTATTCTTGATAAACCCATGGTAAAAATGGAAGAGAGACATATATTGTAAAGTGGTTCACAAACGATAGATAATATGTATGAACAAGTGCTATCTGATGAATCTGCTAGATTCTATGAATGATAAAATGTAGTTTTTGCTATCCTTATCTACTTATAATTATAGGAAAGTCTGTGACTGATGTCAAATTTCGAAGTGTAGGTTCTGTGAATAGTTTTTAATGAGTAGAAAAATGATTATATAACATCGGTGTTGAAAATGTACACACACTAAAGAAGTAATTCATTAGTGTCGGTTGTGAGACATATATCCACCACAGAAAATGGATGAAATTTTGAGTAAAATCATGCAGTGATTAAAATTAGACGTTAACACTGCTGGATACTGGCTCAGTGGTCTAGAGATTAAGCATTATCGTTTGATACCGAAGGTCCTTGATTTCAATTTCACGTAAAGGATCGTAAATGTGTATCACTGAAGTGTCCAATATTAAAACAAAACGGCCGTCTAATGCTGTCAGGTCTACAATGATAGTCTAACTTAGATCGACTCACAATTTCAACTGTAAAAATAATTTATTTCCATTAAAAAAATACTTCATTGCCTACAATGACTATTTATGAATCTGCTTGTAGAATGCCTAAACCAAAACAAGTTACATCCATAATAAACAACAGTAAATATGTAACAAAAATCTATTGAGCTTCAACAAAAATGTCAATAATAATAGAAAACAAAATAATGAACAATGAAATGTTGTATCAGTTGGTATCAGTTCTATAATATAAATAACTCACAAAACTATCCAACTTGAAGTGTTACACTTAGTAAATGATCATAAGTTAGCTAACAAATAAAAGAGGACAAGTAAACAAATATTTATTGTTTCTTTTCTATTTATTTCTTGAGTATAGAAACTTCAATATACAATTATTGAATAAATGAGTGGATAATCTAAATGAATTACCGATTCTGAATAAGAATGGTTAACAAGTATATTTCATATTTGTTTTTATTATTGTAATATTATATTATATAATTCAATAAATCAATAGTTATTTAAGTGAATGGGTTGAATAATTGATCCATGGTTGTTATTTTTTGGGGAAAGTGTAAAATGTAAGATTTTATTCAATGTAATCTCATTGTTCATCAGTATATCATTTATTACAACATGAAGAAATTCCATATTTTAGTATTAAAGAATCGTAGCAGAGATTTATAATAGACTTATGGATCTCTGGTCTATGGATTCAATTTCATGTCGGATTTCATATAGCATTAGAATTTTTCCATGTATATTACCAACATGCTACAGAGTTATTATCTTGTATTTAGCAGTAACTTCTGTGATGTCAGTCTAAAAGTGTAAAAATACTCACTTTTCGTAAGTATTTTCTTTTTAAAAAGGTATGCTATAGTGAGAAATGAGAACAGGATAACTTAATAAGATTCATATGAAAAAGTGCAGTTTACCCATAGTATCATGTTTTAATCGAGTTAGTACGTGATTTTATTGAGAACTAACAATTAACAGAACATAGCAGTCTAATTGTTTGTAAAGAATTTTTCCCATTGTCATGTTAAAGCTAAATGGTTATTTCTTCCAATGTTTTAAGATTTTAAGTAAGCGCTTTATTTCTAGTTGACTGGTAACAGTTTCTGTAACAAAATTATGGGTACTGTTTTTTCTATATAACTGAACATTATTTACCACTGTTAATTTATTCTAGTTAATTGCTTCCAGTCAAGTAGTGAACGGCAGTAAATGATTTAAGTTGCCTTAAAACCCGCGAGTTAAATGAAGCCTATCATATGAGGAATTCTATTATACAACTCTGCATATTGTGTTTTGGAAAAACAATTATGGTTTACCTTTTAAACGTTTACTTGGAAACGTAGTTCATCAATACTTAATCTATGAGTGTGACGTGACAGTACATTATTTTGCACACTAAAGATGTTTTTCTTCTAATTATGAAGATTGAAACTAGCGTTATTTACATATTATTCATGTTTTTACAAATGTTAAAGTACAGCTACAATCTGAAATCTTGTGTTCCTTTTTTGGGACCCAATAATCTGAGTTCAATTACTTGGACAGGTCATCATTGTGCACTGCTGAGCATTATTGAACTAGTATAAAACATCAGTACTGTGCATCAAATGTCAACCTCTGTTGAAAACTTAGTATGAACTGAGTTGGTCTCTATAAAGCCTCAAACTAAAAATACGTTAAATTCTTTACAAGTGACATTTTCAATGTAACTTAAAATTATGCGAATTAGAATTATAAGTTTCAGTTTAAAGATTCAAGTACTCATCATACCCATATTTAAAGCAAATCCCATGCATATATTGTCACCAGTAAAATCTTCCTTCAGCTTTTGCTCTGATTGGATCCTTCTATAAGAAAGAGTCATGGTGTGTAATATACAATTTGAAAACGTTTGTTATTTAACAATTTCTATCATTCATGAAACTATTAATCTTAATATTTTTTGTTATTCTTTATTAACAGTAGGTTTTCAAACTCTAAACTTGCACTTTTACTAACCTACTATGCTGTACGGCCTTACACTACATTCAGAACAATATATTTTATATAAGTGAATAAACCTTATTCCAAGTTTTAACCATCTACAAATAATTTTGTTAAAATACTCATTAGTAAATTAATGACAAATAGTGCAAAAATTTGATTCTTATTTGTCAGGTCCAATTTACTAGACGTTACACTAAAAACAAGTGAGAAAATTAATAAAATGAGAGGCAGAAAAAATAAAGAGATATTGACAGGTGTACAAAGCTGTACACACAAGCAGTTTCATTGGGATGAATGTGATCAATGAATGAAACTTATAAAATAATATTAAGCTTAGGGATTAGAGAAAAAAGATAGATGAATGAAAGTCTGCTTACCAGGCTGACTTTAGGATGTAATTCAACATCCCCCATCCATAAAATGTAATTATCATGAAAATACTAACCAAAACGTTTGCACTTACTGACATGTTTCAGACCAACAGTCAGTGATTTCATGGATTTATGGTTATGTTATATAAGTATGTATTTCCTGAAAATGGAATTATAGATTGTTTTATGATCTAGGTTTGTCAATTTTTTTTACCAATTATGTAATGATTTTCAGATCTATGTGTAACTTAGTATGTTTGAGCTACAGTTAGATTTACGCACACATTACATACTATTCATTTCAACGTTTACAAAGGTTGATAAACTAATTCCATTTACAAAAATAAATTCTTAATCCACATTTTTAAGTATACTTTCAATATGATTATATTCTTATCACTGATTTGGACCCCTACAGATCTAAAATGTTTTATTATATTTATCGGCATATCTCAATATAATGGTAATTTAAGATCAAATGTTATTCACCATAAAATATGTTTCACAATAAAATTTCCTTCAAATGATTAGTTTTTCAATTACAAAACTAAACTAGTCACAGTATTATAAAAATAGTCTAATTAAAAATCACACAGGTCATGTCGTTATAATAAGCATCATGAATTAATAACTTATATAGTTGAATAAAAATATCATCAGAAGGGGTTTTGTGGAGATTTTAGTAATTTAAACAGTTGAGATCATAAGTCCTGGAGTTCTAGTGAGAAGCAGTGATCAGTGGAGTTCAACCGGGTCAGTTGTCAGGTAGTAACTCACTGATGACAATGGTGGATGTGTCGCTCAATTTCGTGGATTAGTTGAAGTTAGAGATTAACACCGTCGGATGCCGGCCGGCTCAGTGGTCTAGTTGGTTAAGCGCCTGGCGCGAGACTGACACGTCTTGGGTTCGGATCCCGCGAGGCGGGGTCGTGGATGCGCACTACTAACGAGTCCCACAGTAAGACGAAACGGCTGTTCAGTGCTCCCAGGTTTCCTATGGTGGTCTAGTTTCAACTGACTCATGAGCTCAACTGTTTGAATAAAAATATTTCTATAGTGATTAGATCTGTCAACAAGGTTGATTAATTGAATTTATGTATTCTGAAATAATAATGATCTAGTTGCTTTATCATGTATCAATCTGTTACTGACAGACTAAAAGTTAATTATTTATGATTAATGATATAATGGTTTCATATAAAAAAGGGTTAGAAAAGAAAATGAGTAAAACTACTTTTTAAATCAATATTTGACTTTTCTGTTAACATTGACCAGAGTAAATTTATTTCAATTTATAATATACTACTAATGTTTATTATTCATAAAAACTCTATTCTAGTATTTTAACAAGTATGAAGTCAAAAAAAGAAAATTTAAATAAAATAATAAAATAGTAAAATCAATAACTTACCGTATTCATTAATGTACTTTCTTCAATTCTACCAGAATGATTTCCATCAGTCGGTAATAGATTTGGTCTATGCTCAAATAATGGTGATGACAATTTATTAGATTCAGAATGATGGATAGTTTTAGGGATTATTTTTAAACCTAACTTGTTTGTATCATAATTCTTTAAATTATCATTAATATCATCATTGATAAAATGTGAATTATTATAATAGTCATTATCAGAATTGAACATATTAAGATAATTGTTTATATTACAATTGTTATTATTTAGATTGGGATTAATTTGAGAAGATTGAAACTCTGTGTTATTCAAAGGGTATAAATTATTCATTAATGAAATAGATCTGTTTTTAGGTTTATGATTTGAGTTATATTGTCCAAAAGAATCTGTTTCCAGTGTATTACATTTACCATTTACTTGTAAAGGGTTCATTTCATTTGGTGGACTGCAGCAATTCAAAGTGTTGGTTACATCATTTTTAATATCTAAAGCGTTATGTAACTTTGGCTGATTCATTTTAGATATACAGATTGTTTGGTCAGTTAAATCTTCTTGATTGTTTCGTTTATTATAGATGGTATTTCTGGTATCATTGTTAGTTGTACTATTCTGAAGATGGTGATGATAACAAGTGTTAGCGGGGGCTCGATACGTTTTCCTAAAATGATTTCCATTTCCTAGAAAAGGTGATGAAAGTTCACTAATTGAATTTGAGGATTTTGAATTATACTGAATAGGGATTGGACCAAAAAGTGGTGGTAAATAGTGGTTCATTCCAACACTAAACTTTCTATTGGTACAACAACTGTTGTAAAGTAGAAGTGGTGTAGAAGGCGCTATTTCATTCGATCGGATAATTGGTATGGGAGTTAAGTGGGACACTATAGGTGAATTAGTTTCTGGAGATGTTGACTGCAGTTCATCACTGAGGGCTTCACCAGAGAACTGATTATGCGATAATCCCAGTTGATTATAGCGTAATTCATATAGATTTTTCGACATACCAGTTGCAGGTAAATTTTCACCAGTGATTTCTCCTCTATGATAGTCATTTCTCCTTAGTAACGTTTGATTCTTTGAATGTTTTTCAGGTGGGAGATATTTTTCATTGGGAAACTTTTGTACATCTTTATTATACAACAATGGGAATTCTTTATTAATGACCCTTTCATTTCTGCCTAATAATGAACAAGGACTATCAACAACTGATAAGTTAGCTACATAGAAATTTTCTTGTAGTTTACAACTTGCTATTGGTGAGGTGGTTGTAGAATTAATAATAGATTTATTCAATGGCGTTGAACTGTGATTATTAGGTGTCTGGAAATCTTTATAACAATAAGAAAAAGTAGAAAAAAGAACTTTACTAATCTAGTCTTCAAACAACCAGAAATTTCATAATGTTTTTTTAGGTAGCCATATATATATATATATATATGTATAATGGCAGTATTACAATAATTATCAAAACAAAATTATTGTGAAAAGTGAATAACATATTTGATTAAATTGTTCTCTTCTACAAAAGCCGTGGTGTAAAATGTTTGTTTGAGGCGATCCAAGTAAGTGTATTTAAGTCAAGAACATATGTTTATTCAACTCTTGCTTAAATAACTTTGAGTCTATTGAGGTGTAGATAAATTTCCTTCAGAACAAAACGTGTTTCACGAACTCCAAGATAATCTTCATACTCTAAATAATATGCCTGGAGAAGTTCCGCTATAAATAATCAAAGACATCACACAAACACTTATTTGCAGCTCTACTTAGTATCATCTCAGTCTCTGGAAATCAATATTATGAAGAATCAAATATCTTTTATGTGGAAATCGGTTTGTCGCTTCACAAAAGGATGTTTTAGGCATTCATATTTTACTACTTTTTATTTGTAAGTAGGTAAATTTGATACATGCAAATTAGGGAGGATTTGAATTTTAAACCCATATTATTAAAGTAATTGAACATAAGTAATTTTGGACCGTACTGAATTTAGAATGAATTAGTAATCCCTGCACTTCTACATTAATTTAAACCTTCAGAGTTTTCTCACACTAATAAAAGAACAGAACTGAATATAAACTAACCTACTAGTATTTATACCAGTCTGTTTCACATAGACGTTTTGATTTCGTATCACTGTATTTAATATTGATGATATTAGATAATATGCAGTATTCAGGTTAGTTTACAATGAATTTTACATCAAAACCATCTACATAAGGTCACTAAGGGAAAGGATTTATGAATATAAAACGAACTCAATTCATCAGTTATTAAATTTCTGCTATTCGGCTTATAAATATTAGACCAGAAAGCCCTCTGTAATTAGGATAATTAAAATTATCATTTTTGTTGTTCACATATAAACTGGGTGTAAACCAAAGTATCAATTTTAATGTAAAGTGTGAACTTGCATAGATCTTCAATCGTCACTTAGTTAATAAAAATCAACATCACTAAAGTTCTGTAGCCTATATTTTATGCAAATATTTAAGAGTCGGGATTAAAGTTTTATTACATAACACTGTATAATGGTCATATAGGGACTTTTGTTGAATATTTGAAGTAAAGAGGAATTAGGATTCTAGAACTAGTGTACATCTAATACCTACTCAACTATTTATTAAGATGCAATAAAATTAAAATGAGATGATTCATAACACGAATAACATTGAAGATAGCACATTACGTTAGTTGGACAAAGTGACTTAACGATTTCATAAATAAAATATTCATCATAAGTATTTATCAATACATTTATAGATAGGGACATTCCTTCAAATTCAAAAACATACGATGAATGAATGTGGTAAGCAATGCAGTCGACTTTGGAAATGTACTTGGTTTTTATCCAAGATATTAATAATGTTTGATGGAGTTTAAAATGACAGCCTAATGTTATAAAACGTAAAAATGAAAAAAATCACAGAGTGATGCTGATTTGTTTGGACAAAAAATTCTCCTTATTTCCTCCATTATAACATTACGGAGAAGATAAATTCTAATGAATATGTATTCCAATTAAAGATTCACGATCCACATATAGAATTTTATTATAGATGATTTAGCAGAACGTAATAAATAGAAGTGAATGCTGTTTTTTATGATAAACTATTTGTTTTTAATCAGTTTATTTACTTGTGAATTAACTTTAGTTTTTGAAAGCCTACTGAATCAGTATTCTTTGATTGTAAAACAAGGGCTTCAGTAAAGGCATTTTACTGATTACTTACAAGTGCTTGCGTTATTTTATGTGAATTTTTAGGAAATCGACTTTCATTGTAGTGAACGAGAACATAAATGTGGACAATCAAATGTATTTGAATACAATATTACGGAATACCATAGTAAAGTATGAGAACAATACAGTAAATACTTAATTTAATCAGTTGTCTCAAACTTGACTGTTCCTTTTCCAAATATCAGTCAATCGTATCAGGTTTCATTGTTCTTTTGTTTCCACACCAATCACTCTCTGTTTTCGTTCTCTTCTCTTCGATTTTCTTAACGTTCTACCTTCAGGCATTTCACTTTCGATTGATGATACATACTACTTATATATGTCGACACCACACCATTAATGATTTACATCGAGTGGTATCATAGAAAACCATAATTGCGCTAAATTGTAACTTCCACTAAAATTTTAGATCAATATATATATATATATATATATATAATAAAGTAACAATCGTATTTACATAATCATTTCTGTGGGCAGCTTTATTATTTACTAGCTAAATTATTTCATATCTCACTGTAAATACTTTAAATGAATCATCATCTACCTAACATAAACCTGTGATGCTTGTTTTATATTTAACATTTAAAGCTTTTCCTTGATAAGTTGGCGTTTGATGTTTAGTGAACAGTTGTTGTATTCACTTCAAAATTCAGTATATGTGAAAGGAAAAATAAAAAAAAGTTAAAATAATAACAATTGAATTTTGTGAAAATTTTCAATATCAGTTTACATATAATTTGGTGATATTGATGATGATGACGATGATGATAATATTACTGTAATGAAAAGAAGTGTTATAGTATGGTTGATATGAAAACTAACCAAAAGCATTTGCCAACTCCTTGTAACTAACTAACTAACTATATATATATATATATATATATATATATATATATATATATATATAAAATCCACACTAATGTACTCTAATTTTTTGTAATTATTAATAATACTAACCAATAATAATTTTCAGAACGTCTTTTTTAAAATAGCCAGTAGAAATATTTTCTGGAAAGTTAAAGAATGAACATAGTGACAAGAAAAAACTTCTGTTTTTAAAATGAAGAAGTAAAAAATGAAGATACTAGACACGATATTTCGTGCATCTATGTGTGCACAGTGTTTCGTTTTTTTTTGTTTTTGGAGAACATAGTACTAGAGAATCGGAGGAATTGAAAATGAATAGCATCAAATGTTAATGTCTTTAGCCAAACTTATCACATGTTCCTATGTAGGCATATATGTGAACAGATATTCATGAGTTAACCACATAAAAATTTAAATGGCATTTTGCATATTTTGTGTTTTAGTACAGTAATAAACTGTTAGTGTACTTTGACAAATAAAAAGGGATGATCAACAAGTTTTAATTCATAAATATATTTCACTAACAGTTTAACTGATTCAGAAATTGGTTTCGGTATGTATATATGTTTGTGTATTCTTTAAAGATTCATAGTAGAAAATATTTAAGTGCATGATGATCATTTATTTTGATGGGCAAGGACACATTTGCTAGGCTAAATATAAATGAGGGTTCTAGGTTGCATTGATCAGGAAGCTCGACGTCAAAGAACAGATTTAAATAACAAGAACATTTGTATGATTAGTGTTATATCCCGATAATTATAATGAATGGTAATTTTTGGGATCCATTTATGGACCAATACTATGAGTATATTTTTATCGTGTAATTGTTAAATAACTAAACTGTTCATATTCATGTCCCTCTTAATATGAGTTTTATTTTTACCTATGAACTATTATTATACGATTTACCATTCTTGAATTATTCCCTGTCTGTTAATCATTACCTCCCTTATTCATAGCCACTTTTGGCCAAATATTGTACAAATGTTGTTTCATATTTTATGGTACGTTGTGGTCTGTTTGATTGGTATATAAACCCTGTATGTTTGAAATAAATGATTTATATTGCAGAGGCTGAGATTGGCGTTCTGGACGTAACTGGCTGGGCTAGGCGGAAAGCAGGGCCGATCAGAACTCTAGGCTGCTCGCACGTGTTTTATGCGTTCCTGGTTCGATCGATAATTCGCTGCTCTCTGATTGGCGGTGTCGTTGCGTTATCCAATATACAGGGCACACAGCCTCACAAGTTATAACAATTAGAAACTGAACCGATGTTCTCATGAATTGTATATTTAGTGATTTGTTATTTAATAACATTGAAACAATGCATTATGGAAATATATTTCCTTTAATGATATATTTAATGTTAAAAACCGAAAAACAAATTAAAATATTCATTCTTTCCTATGTTTACGATATTAACTGTTATCTGAATACTCTTTTGTTCTTATTTTATTCTAGTCACTGTTAGCCTTACGATTATATGATTCATTATTCATTATGTTAGTTACCTTAATTATAATGGTAAGATTATTAAAGCATATCAATTAACATTCTAAAAAAAAACTTGGGAAGCATAAAATAGCTTCTATTGACTTATAAACAAAATAATTAGATGAATTGTAAAAAAAATATTTCAATAAAGAATTCGCTCTATCAAAGTTTTAAGTTTATGCTTTTCTATACAAAATGAATCCATAAAATAGGGTATACCATAAGTACTTGTATATGATTCTAAACCTGTACACTAATAGTTAGAACAGAATCAATTCTAAGCTATAATGATAAATAAAAATAGATTAACTTTTAGTAGCCTTCGATTATATGACTTCAGTTTGATTGTTTGAATGATTGTTATTGAACTAAACATGTCACCGATCCTCGTATATCATCATCGACTTAAATCGCGGAAGTGAATAACGAAATTAAATAAATCAAATATGAGAATGAATTTTTAATACGTATATTTCACACAATCGTTGATCTAGACAAACAAACGAAGGAACAAAACATAGAGAAGAGAGTGAAGTGAAATGACACGTGGTGGAGAAGACATGTAAGCCAACTCGATTTAATCGAGGGTTAATCGATATTTATAGTCGGGTAAAAATGAGTTACAGATATGTGATGAGTAAGAAAGGAAATGCACATATATACGCTCACATAAAAACAGTCAAGATTGATAAGCGAATAATTGACAAGGTTAAAATGTATTTGGTTTGTCCAAAAGCTACAATAAACTATGTGTGCTTAACATAGAAACCGACACTACACTATTCAGGTAACTTCTAAATCCAACCTTTATCATTATTGAAGCCTCATTTTTATTCATCACTCCGATCCAACCTTATGCTTTTCTAGTAAGTTTTAGCATGAATTCCAAAACTTAATTCTAAGAACTTCGATTTTAATTACAGATAAATTGTGATTATCAGCTTTTTAAACAGAATAAAACCTTCTTGTCAAAATGAATTGAATGTATTTCTGGATCCTGACCAGTTCAAAGAAGATATTATATGATGGTTTAATTATTAACAACTTGAACTTCAGCAACTCATATAAACTCCTTGTTTTAGATACTAGTACTCAACTTATTTCAAGCAACTATTACGTTTCTTTTAAAGAAGAAGTAACATATATGAAGTTACATATCAACAAATATTGTCTTTGTCTTATTATCTCTGAAAAGAAATCAATGATATTTGATATAATTCATATGATAAAGAAGTTTTTAAAACAAACAGTTAAATAAAGGAAATAAGTAAATCTCCTTAGTATCAATGGTCATGATAAAATTATTAGTTATCATGCCTGCAAATGAAGTGATATGATGGTTCTAGAGAAGTATCTATCAAGACTGTCGGGATAAGATTTTTATTTACTTAAGTTTTAACTGTTTGTGTAACGTATATTATTTATATTCAAGAACGATAATTAGAAGATACATATTACCAGAAGAGGGTTTTGTGCTCACTAGTGACTGGTTTCAAGAGGTATTTCCTGAGGTTCTAGTGAGACGCCGTGATCAGCGGAGTTCAATCAGGTCTGTTGTGAAATAGTAACTCACTGAAGACAATGGTGGACGGTGGCGTGATATCGTGCATTGGTTGATGTTAGACATTAACACCGTTGGATGCGAGCCGGCTCAGTGGTTTAGAGGTCAAGCATCGCGTGCGTGATCGGAGGACCCGAGTTCGAATCCCACGTAAGGGATTATGGATGAGCATTTCCGAGGAGTCCTATAATAGGAAAAAACGGTCGTCCGTCGCTTTCAGCTTTTTAAAAATTGATCGATTCATGATCTCAATCAAAAGGACCTTATTGAGTCAAATTTTCCCCAGTGACCTTGTATACACTAGACTATGATATACTATATCAATTTAAAACTTTTCAAGGTATAACAAAGTTTTGCAAACATAAACCTTGTATATATAATCTGATTAATGACCGCATTTATTACATTGACAAAATGTACAAACTGTCATTTTAATTTTCAGCTTTGACAGTAATATGTAGTCATTTATGTATTTGTCACATTTAAGATATATTTTCACTCGATTTACAAATGAAAAAAAAACCCAATGATTTTTAACTTCGAAAAGAATTTTATATTTTTATATATCCAAATGGTGAATATTCTTCTAAATACATACAATCGGTTCATTGTTATGTTTCATAGGCAAAGAAAATTATTTATTTATTTATTTATACTGATGAAATGAAATAGAGCTTACTACTATAAAATTATACTACGATTTATCGTTAAAAAAATAAGCCACAAATATTTTTAAGGTGATTGTTTAAAATCAACTCTAAGAAATGAATACAAAACACAATACAATACTTTATTATCAGAAGGGGTTTTTGTGGATATTATAATAATTTTAATAGTTGGAATCATGAGTCAGTTGAAGCTAAACCACCATGAAAAACCTGGAAGCCCGGGACAGCCGTTTTGTCCTAGTATGGGACTCCTAGGCAGTGCGCACCCACGATCCCGCCTCGCGAGATTCGGACTTGGGACCTATCGGTCTCGAGCGCGATGGCCTGACCTCTAGACCACTGGGCCGGCTGACATACAACGGCATTAATGTCTGGCTTAAACTAATCCACAAAATTGAGCGATACATCTACCATTGTCTTCAGTGAGTTACTATCTCGCAACAGGTCCTGGGTTGGAATCTGGCAAGGCGGGATCGTGGGTGCGCACTGCTGTGGAGTCCCACACTAGGACGAAACGGCCGTCCTGTCCCTTCAGAATTTCCATAGTGGTCTAGGTTCAGTTGACTCATGATCTCAAATATTAATATTACCTTATATTCAGACTTATGTAATCTATATGCTTATTCTTTACCAGCCCAAATTGTGATAAAAGTACGATTTGTTCCATGTAATTCGAATGTAGGGTAACGAAATTATCGCATTTTTGTTTAAATAGATATTCAATAATAATCAGAAATTATTAAATTAATAACTTGGGGACTTCTTTTTCTTTAATTGGTTTGTTATAAGCTTGTTTGATGGTAATAATGTATTCGGCTGGTGTTTCATAAATGTCTTCACATTTTTTTAAACTCAAGATAATAGACTGAACCCTCTAGATTTATGACACTATGCTCTGTAACCGTAAGTTAGTCACTTTAGGTTAGAAAAAATGATGAATAAAGTATTTATAAGGAATAAATTTATTGACGAACTAGAGGTTCAGTTGTACTAAGGATTTTAAGAAATATTTGGTATCTTTTATGGTTTACATCATGGACTAATCTTATTTAAGCAACAATTTAAGACCAGGAAGCACTGGACATATTGTTTCGTTCTTGTTCGGAACTTATCAGCAGTTAGTATCTACAGACATACTGGGGATCAAACCATGAACATTCAAGTACAGCGGCAAGCGCTTATCCACTAGACTATTCAGTCGGGATGCGATATTCATGTTTTTAATGATTGTGCGTAATATGTTGGTCTTTTCTGTTTATATATATAAGAATAATAGTATGCTTTCGAATAAATATAAAAAGTCGTACTTAAACCAACTAACTTTTTTGACTAGGTTTCTTCATTGCACTCAACATACGCGAATATAATATTATTCCAGCAAGATCTCTTAAGGTTAGTTAAAATAACTTTATTACTCAAACTCCTTATCAATGAAACAGTCTTATAAATGTAAATAGGTAGGCTCCTACAACTGATGTTTAAAGCAACTGAGGTGGCTTTTGAACAGAAGTTTTGATGAATTTCATTCTTACAGTAAAATCTGTATTAATATTACGTTGGATAGGTTTATTTAGGTGTCTATTTTTTATCTTTAACCAGAAAATCCAGTTAATTAGGAATCTTAGAAAAACCTGAAATCAAAAATAGAATTTATACACACTTTAATATATCCAATATATTAAGAAATATTGTAAAGCTCCTTAACTTCGTTCATTTTAAATCGCTACCTTTGTGCAGTGACTTTGAAATATCTATCCTGTTATTTTAGACAGATATATTTGTATTTGGACTGAGATATGTACCGATGTGTGTTTTTTTAATTTATGTGGCGACTTTATCCACTGAAACTTGATTATATAAATTATCTACCAATTAAACTTGGAGGTACATTGACCGCTTAAGTTGAATTAGACAAATAAAACAAATATGGTAGGATAGAATTACTAATCATTGTAGATACGCAGAAATATCAATGCTAAATCTGTTTTGATTTTTCCGTCAAAAACGTTTCTTGGAACAATTTCTAAGAGTTCATAGATGATGATTAAATCATTGTATTTATCATTAACTAGCAGTGAGGAGATATTTCTTAATTCAGTACGCTGATACTTGTATTAATCGTACTCAATGCTTCCACCTAGTGCTGCTGCGTAGTAAGGGCAGTTTTGCTGGTTAATTTGTGCGGCCGGCAGACATCGAAATAATCCATAACTCTGCTGTAAAATGGATTAGTCGGGTTCCGACTTTAAGGCTCACTAAATCTTGCGGGCTGCTCGATGTATATGCTTATGTATGTGAATCTCATGAGTCTCAGCTCGTGTAGTTACGTATGTAGGTATATGCAAAGGGTACGCACATAAGTTAGGAGAAGGAATGTAAATTGGGGAAATATCTGCCATGTGTCTAGCAAAACCAGCAACCTTCCAAAGCAGGTCGAAGACATAATAAAGATACGGTTGCAAAAACAAGGAAGGGGTAACCATCAAACCCCGTTGTGAGTGTTTATGCTTATGTGCTCGTCATGACGTGTGAGGTTCGAAGCCTTTGTACCAGTGGTACGCGTGTGACATTCTAGAAACGGTCAGTTGCGAATACGTTTGAAGGAAGTGGTGATCATCTACTCTCCCAGGTGGGTGAATATATCTGTATATATGTTATAGGATGCATGATTGAAAACTTTTGTGTTACAAATATGCGTGTAAACCATACTTGGTCATTGTACCACGCCCACTTGCCAAGACCCAGGGATACAGACTTTTTGATGCGATTACATCCACGGAATAGGTTTATGAGCCTTGAAACAAGGAAACCAACTCCCGAAAAACCACACTGGCCTTACTGGATAAGGCTTCATCAACCTTAAATGGCTGGAACACCACAACCGATATTTTTGCATCACCAGTGAGTGAGATACAAAATGAAGTTTCCTGTACAATCTGAGTATGTGATGACTGAGCACATTATAATGCAGCCTACCTTATTCAGCTAATGAGTATAACCACTAAATAAATGCGTGCTCACTGAAGAATAATTCTAATCTACATTATCTGTGAGCCAATACCACAGCCCGTAACACTTGCATAATCATCATTTAGCAAAACGTTACTAAACATCTATAACACAAACAGTTTAAAGTATTAATAATTTACTGTGCATACTCATATAATATAGCAATATCAATTTACCATTTTTATTGTTTAATCGTTTGCGCAATACAAACACAAATAAAATGACTAAGAGAAGAAAGAAGATTGCACCAATTATTACAATCCACAAGTAGGTATTCTGATAACTGAAGATGGACAAAGTGGATTCGTCATAGTAACCATCTGAAATAGAAAAATCTAAATTATTTATGATAATAAGTGATTATAATTTGCAAACTTCAGAAAATCTGTTAGGTGTTTTTCATAAACATTCCGCAACAATATTATAAGGTAATTAAAACAACTAATATTTCGGTGTTTTTCAAAGCTTTTTAAAAAACCGTCATACTCTAACTAGAGCTAATGACTTAACTTTTTCAAGAAACTTCCAGTGTTCAGATGTACAAATGAATTAATGATGGTTCAGATTCATTCAAAAATAATACGAATATAAACGTAAAACATACGATCAGTCATCATTTCGAAAATGAACCTTAGTCTGATTACTTAATTTCACAGATAGCTGTGTCAGAAGTATGAAATATTCTGCTAATTGAAAAATATTAAAGTCATTTTTTAAGATAGTTTCTAAAGGATTTCTTCTCGGCTTATTTTCAAGTCTATGGATGCTACCTCAACAACGCCACATAAAAATGAGCTCGCTAACGTTTTTCAGATTTTTCGTGCTATCATTTGTAAGGATGAAATCTGTCCGTATTAATCATCGTGAGCCTCAAATATTGGTAAGGGTTTTTCAAGTCCAGACAAAGAAACTCGGGGAGCATATGAGGAATTGGTCGACATCTTAATTTAATTTATAATTTTTATCCCAGACAACGACTAATATTTAAAAAATAACTCCCAAACTCATTTGAGATTACACACCTCGTAAGGTATTCACGATTCTATCCCTCGAACTAAGCGCTTAACTTTCAGGCCACTAAACTGGGATACAGTGATCCAGGTTTATGAATTTAGTCAATTTTCTATTCCTGTGGCTGAAAACCGAGTTTTGGTCTCTGTTTTTTCAACCCCTAAATCTTATTTGTGTTCTCTAAACCTATGCCAATTATTTGTTGCGGTATAACTGGTCACACTTCTTGTAGTTGCGTTGTTAGGTTTTCGTTTGTAAAATTATTTCATGTAATTGACTTCTTAACGTTTTCAACTATGACCTAACCTATTTGGTGAATATGTACATAGGATTATAGACTGTCAATAAATTATTTCTGTTTAAGAAAGTCAGTTGCCTAGTTTAATATTCTACATCTGACAAGGACATTACTAGCGTTAATTCACTAACAAACTGCCATTAGTCACAAAGATCCTAAGTGTAGTTGTTAACTATGGAAAATTACCATGGAATATATACTCAATGGACTACTATTTAAAATAATGTTTGTAACCAACCGTTTTCTTCATCGACCCAGTCGGTTGCGTAAACCAGACTCCCACTTTCATCGTAAAATCTAAACTGATAAGTTAATTTTTCTTTTTCGGACCAGTGAACATAAATTCCTTGAGGAGTGTTGCTTGAAGTATCATCGGACAACAAATTATTTATCTCGGCTGTTTCGTTGGATTTGTTTTCGGATTTTAGATGGGAAGTGTTATAGAATGTATTATTAAATAAATATATGAGCGGAATTTCAATTTTACCCTGTTCAGGGTTTTCAACTAGCTTATCAATACACTCATTTGAGAGAGAAGTTGTTTGATATTTATTATTAGGAAATGATTTATACAAATCTAACCAAGAACGATAATTTGGTTTCCTCAGAGTTTTCATTGTGGATTGTGATGAAGAACATTCTTTTATTATATCCTCAGGTGATTGTTCGCGCCTGTAATAATTTGATGCGCATATTCTAATTAACATTTTCCATTGCGATTGTTGACTGTTGTCACTCTTTATAGGAAGCGAACTGAGCGCGTTGCCTGTGACGATGTTTGAAGTAGATTTTGTCGTAACAATATGGTTTTTATTTTCTTCTGAAACAGGTAAACCACCTTCGCTGGTCTTGAAAAAATATAACGGATCAAAGTAAACTCGAATCCTCAAATCATCACGTCTAAAACGCACGTTCCTTACATTGATTGGTGGATTACCTTTAACAGGAAACAGACATTAGAACAAGATGGCATAGTTACTAACAAAGGAAATCATAAAATGAGAATAAACAGTTAAAAAGCATCGAGGAAATACCACTCACTTATTTAGGTAATAAACTGTTGCTTCGCAATCTGTGCACATTAAGTACGCTTGATTTAGGGAACTCATATATGTGAGAAGGGACACAAATGAAATGATAAGATAAAGTGATTTAAATAAGTTAATGTCTATTTGCTCATATAGATTAAAAAACTAATATCTGTACTGAGAATTTAATTCCATTCAGTCTCTTCTAGTAAGAAATGTTGTTATCATCTTTCAAAGATTCATCACTTCATAATGACATCGGTAAAAAGTTCCTAGTAGTAACTAAATAGGCAATTTCTGTGTCAGCTAGTCTCTAGAGACCTGATATACAGATGGTTAATCTATCTATTTCTATAGAAGGATTAAGTTGATTTTAGTCCATTAAGTGTTTATGCTAGAGATAAAAACTCTGTTTATTGTATAAAAATAAAAGGAGACGGCACCACTTCCTAAACTACAGGTTATACTTAATCAAAAGAACACCTCCCTTTACCTAAGTTTTAGCGAAGTGTAATCGTCTCACTAGAAATGATCTAGCTCAGATCGATTCGTGACTTCAACTACGAAAGTACTACAGTCTCCACTAACCCCCTTACTACTACTAATAATAACCATATGCTCACTAGTGACTAGATTTAGGATATATTTCCTGGAGTTTTAGTGAGAAATCGTGATCGGTGGAGTCTGATTCGTGTCGGGTGTGAGAAAGTTATCCACCTCAAACAATGGATGAAGGGTTATGCAAGATCATGGAACGATTAAAATTAGACATTAACGCCAGTGGATGCCAGTTCAGTAGTCTAGAGTTTAACCTTCCCCGCGTGAGACCGAAGTTTCTGGGTTCGATTCCCGCGTGTGGGACTGTGGATGCATACCACTGAGGAGTCTTATACGGGGATGAAGCGCCTACCCAGTGCTTACATGTTCTCAGTGGTGGTCTAGATTTGATAATCTCACGATTAAAACTATGGAAATATTTGTCAGAGAATTTTCAAGTTCAATTTACTTGAAAATGAAAATAATACACACTTGCAAAACACAAATGTTAAGTAATGTACTTAAATTTTCACTGAATAATTCACCCTTTGTTTGCTTTATGCAACTTCATGCAACAATATAAAATGTCGTATTGATTTGATCTTAATACATATTTTAATAATACGCAATATTTATTCGTTTGTATGTGACACAATATCATTAGGTGTGATACATAAAATATAATACACTAAATTAGAGGTCATTTATATTCTTTGATGTTTTTAAGTGCTTGAACAGTAAATAAACCGAAGTAAATCACTGAACGTTGGTTTTTTTAAATAGTAGCAGATAAAATGCTGATTCATTTAAAACATTTAGATAAATACTAAACAGGATTAAATATATTCACGAACCAGGTGGTTGTACTTGCATGAAAAACTGTTTTCTTCCTTCCACGTGTTCTAATTCACACATATATTCCCCGTAATCCTTTTCTGTAATTGGGCTTAGAAACAGTCGATAAACAATTGTCGGTATTTTTCGCAATGTATTTCTACTTCCACTATCATTTTGTCTAATTTGTATATCCGTGTCATAGTATGGAAAATCAATAAGTATTGCATCAGTCCAAATAAGTTGCCTTTTATTAATACCAGAAGAAAATTGTTTCAACCGTATATGTGGTTCCCAGTTTTCGAGTACTAATTCTTTTTGAAGTATTTTGACACCTGATGCTGATCTCTCAGTAGTAACCTTGTACCAAGTATACGTTTTCTTTTGTGTTTTGATTTCATATGGTATTTGTGAATTAATTTCATGAAGATTACAGTTTTCAGTCACAATATGTTTTATTTTTGTATCTTTTGGATTGTGTATAGATGGAGGTACAGGATATGACCATATATGAAGTTCAATTACAGTATGTGAACCAACTGCAGACGTTACCGATGTAATTCCTGGTGGTGCTAACTCAGGTGCGACTGAAATCAAAAGTATGAATAAGAACAAAATTAATTTTACAATGAATAGCACTGAATAGCATTGTGTCAAAATACCTAATTTTAACTTTTCTTATTCCTTGAAGGGTAAAATAGTAGAGTTTTTACAAAAGCTCACATTTAAAAAATGAACTTTACAACCAGAAGATTACTCTTAATATCTGCTTCTGGGAGAAACCTATCATACAATATATGATATGTTGTATATTGTACAAATATGATTTAATGTCGTGATACTGTGGCTAGATTAGTGAATTTAAATTTACTTATACATAAGACATTCTACGTAAACTTTTCAGTAGTAAATTATTTTTTTAATGTTAAGTATCAGGTTTAATGAATTAGCCTTAATTTATTGGATAAATGCCGAAAAATACATTTGAATTTCAGATCATGTATACCAAAGATATTTATAACTTGAGCACATTTTAAAAAAGAACAAGAGAAAGAATGACTTTAAATAGTATGATTATCAAACATCTCGATGATACGGAACATCAAGTCGATACCTTGCAGTCTTTCAAGGTGATCAATAAACAGCCAAACTCCAGTCTTCTGAAGTTTGCTAGAGCTGTTGCTACCGGGCGTCAAAAATCTGATTTGTGTGTTCAAAAGAAAATGATTGTTAATTTTTCCTTGCCTTAGTGATAAATATTCCTTCGTTGCATCTTAAAACACTTTTGATCTCTTTCATTTATTACATCACTGAGTTTTTATAATTTTGACTGTCTTCCAGATTAGTATTCACATTTTGTTGACTGATCTTTACTCATTTTATTCCTATCAGCGTCTACTCATTATGTAATCACTTGTTTCTGGCCCTTTGAACTCTTGTCACAATCAATGTTGTTTAATGTTATTTTACATAATGTATATATTTACAATAATCAGCCTTAAATTTATTGACACTCTCGCTATACTATACCAATGTGTCTTCAACATAACTTCCAAATGAACTCTTTCATGTAAGTATTTTAATCCCATTTTGTACTTGTTTTCTACATACCATAGGTTGTACGCAGCTGATGAGAACCAAACGAAATATTATGAATCCATGTTATTCTGCTGGAATATTTGTTCTTGGTCTATTCTAACTAACTAAATATGTATTTAACTTAATCAACTTTAAAAATCTCCAGTTTCACTATTTTTATTCTCAAAATTATGTCTACAGACAGTTTTGATGGAGAAAAACGGAATAATGTAATCAAGTGTGTTATAGCTTCGTTTTTCACTGGCACCAAAAAATCACATACTTTGTTCAATGTATCCTTATTTCTTAACTTTATAGAATCCCTAATAGTATTGATTCACTTAAAATGTATGCTATATTCAATAACTCATGCTGTAATTATTATGTCTTACTATCTTCAGTGATCCGAAGGTGCAAATATATAAGCTAGACTTCACACCTGACAAAATTTCATTAATTTCATTACTGAGACAACAATATGTAATATGATATGAGCAAATAATTATTGTCTTTTATGCACGTCCTACGAAGTAAAGTTCAGTTATTTGAGTTGACGTTGCTTAATTTCTAAATATCGTCATTATAGATTGCTTGAAAAGACCATATTTTAGAATACTAACATAATATCATACTAGCATCAGTCATACTTACATGTGAATTCTAAATGGCTAGTCACTTGTGCTGTACTAGTTGGACCTTCAAGTAAACATGTATAGTCACCAGCTTGTTTCCTCCCTGGATAATTTAAAATTAGTTTATTCGATCGGTACATATTTAACTCGTTGAAAAGTATTTCTTGATTAGTCAACTGCATCCAGTTTTCAGGGTATTGAGGACGAAATTTCCAGTAGAATTTCCACATATTATGTTTATCTTTACTAAGTGAAGTTCCTTGACTTTTTGAAAATTTATTTTCATAATGGATATCATCTAGAAAGTCAGTTTCGCTCTCAAAATATTTCGGTTGACCACCTTCAGCACTACAGATTAGAGTAATACTATTAGACTTTAGACGATCTTCCATTGTTTGTGGAATAATTTTTAATTTTAGCGTTGGTGGATCTACAATCAGGAAAAGAATAACACTTGAAAAAGATGGATTATTACGCTTTTAAAAATCCTATTAAGCGTAGATGGTTACGAAAATTCCAGTGCACTAGTCTACATAGAAACATTGAAGAAAAAGCGCTAAAACAAAACATTATGGCCGACCTGTTTTTGAATAATTAACATTCCACATAGACTGAATGTATTAATTTTGGTATTATATATCCAATACGTTTTATAAAATATATCTGGTCTTGTTGAACTGGAGTTATCGGTTATTTTAGTGCATGCTAATTTCAATTACATTTAAGTTGAACGATTATTATTATCTAGAAACTAATTTTCTTACATTATAGCATAGATTGGAGTGAGACGTATGACACTTACTGTTACTTTTACATAGAACTTAACTTTTATATAGAAGAGTATTTCTTCACCTACATTTCCTTTCATTTAAATTTTGTTGAGATAAATTTATAAAGAATTTAAAATCTTTGTTTAGATTGAACATTTGAAAATATTATATCATAAAGATTTATTTACTTAATTAATAAAGCTCCTGACTGAACGCTTGAATCACTTTCCTAAACTTTTCTAATGACCCCAGGTTAAATCTACACGACAACATGAACACGATAGAAAAGGCGCGAAATATGCAAAGAACGCTTTACTCCAAGGTTCCTTCATGTACAGAAAATTGAGGGTATTTATGGCATTTCAGATAGCATCGAGCTTCTGGGATGTCCTGAAACTCGACTAAACACTATAGCAGGATAGATAATCATACAATCATAAATGTTACACGTGACGCTTCACTCTCTTGATGTTTCTGGAGAACTTCTATTCATGTTGATTAGATAAAATGTTTTCCAGCGTTTTCAAAAACCTGTAGTGGCTGTGCTTCGATAATTAATCGCCCTCGAACCGTTATCGTATAATCTTCAACGATGTTTGAAATCAGAAGGCAAAAAGAAGCAGCTACTACAGTTTATTTAGTAGATAATTCGGACCAGACAGCAGAGAGGCAAAATGAATGAGCAAGCGAACTACGATTGTAGCAGTAGCAAGTAGTTGTAGTAGTAGCAGTAGTAGTGAATGGGTGCAAATGTACACATATATATATGTATAGGAAAATGGATGAGTCAGCGAATAGATTAAGCAGTTAATAATGAAGCTAGCCGAATGAATACATGCGTAGGCGCTAAACAATGTTCAAGCATATGTATTTCATACAAGCATAATAATAAAGATAGTACAACAAGTTGTTATATCATGGATGACTTTGTCCATTAAATAGGTCAACAAAAGGCCTTGACTGAACTAAACTCGATTGCACGTGAGTCACTATAATAGCTCCCCCCTGCAAACAAAGATATATGGAAAAATGTCTGTGTTTGCACAAAAAAATAGTAAACTGAATAGGGTAGTTACAATCGTTTGAAAAAAATGGTTTGTACAAAATTAAGATGAAGTTAGTGTGTGCTGTACATTTGGTTTGTGCCCGTCCGTGAGGTTATAATAGCAATAAATAGAAGGAATGCGGTATTGCTTTACATTTTAAATAAAAATTATATGTGTAAGTGTAGGGGTACATAAGAGTTTTATAGCGTATAACATGAAATTAGTAATGCATGTGTATACAATGAAGTGGAAGTTATAATTAATATTTAAAATAGTAGAAAATTATTAATAGAAGATTGCAGCGACATAACGTTGGGGCCATCTTACTCTTCGACCAGACTTTGTGGTTACTGGATTCTCTTTGTTTGTGTTCGTCGATGTCGTTGATGATTGGAACTGACGTTTCGATGATTCAACGGTTTTCGCAGTATCTGTATGTACTGGCTGGTCGCAGGCTTCGATGAAAGCTGGTTTGACTCGGTCGATGCTAATTACATCCGTTTTTCCAGCTTTGTCTACCGTAATAGTTTTGTCGTCTCTTTTAATCACCTTAAATGGACCATCGTAGGCCGGTTGTAAGGGACGTTGCACATTATCCCTTCTGATAAACACATGTGTACTGTCACTTAGTTGTTTGGGTATGTAGACACGGCGTTGATGTTGTCTTGGAAGCGTTATCCTTAGACTACTCATATGCTGCTTAAGACGCTGTACATAGTCCGCTATATCAGTTGGGACGCTTTTACCTGCAGTGAAAAACTCTCCTGGCAGACGTAGTGTGGTTCCATAAACCAACTCTGCTGGGCAGCATTCTATATCTTGTTTGATTGTTGATCTTAAGCTCAACATGACTAACGGTAGCTTGCTGGCCCAATCGTTATTGCTGATGACGGCTGTAAGAGAAGCTTTAAGTTGCCGATCCAATCTCTCTACCATACCATTCGACATCGGATGGTAGGATGTTGTGCGAATTCGTTTGATTCCGAGGAGTTCTGTGAGTTGTTGGAAGAGGCGGCTCTCGAATTGAGCTCCTCTATCGGTTGTAATATTAGTAGGTACACCATAATGGGAAATCCAATGCTCTACTAGGGTTTTTGCGATAGTTTCGGCTGTAATATCTTTTATAGGCACAGCTACAGGCCATCGTGTGAATCTATCAATGCAAGTGAAAATGTAACTGAAACCATTCGAAACCGGCAGTGGTCCTATAATATCGATATGTACGTGCTCGAATCTGTTATCGGGATGACGGAAATGACCTACTGCGGAACTGGTGTGGCGATGTATCTTAACTCTCTGACATTTTATACACGCTTGCGTCCAATTACGAATATCCCGATTCATACTTGGCCATACGAAACGTTCACTAATTAGTTTGATGGTGGCCTTTATTCCGGGATGCGAAATATTATGCATAGCTTCGAAAATGTTTCGCCTTAGCGGCTTTGGAATAAATGGTCTTGGTTGACCTGTAGAAATATCGCAGGTGATGCTTACTTCTTCCAATGGAGTTTCTTTGAGAACTAACGAGGTTGTATTGGCAGACTTGAGTCTGTTTAACTCGACGTCGATATTTTGTAGTGCTGCTAACTTGTGATAATCGATTTCAGACTGGATGAGAGCGTTGACCATCGTTCTGGATAACGCGTCTGCCACTTCGTTACTGTTACCTTTGATATACTGTATGTTGGACGTGAATTGGGAAATAAATTCTAATTGTCGGATTTCCCTCGGCGAGTAGTTGTCCTGTTTGGCGTTCAATGCTTTTGTGAGGGGTTTATGGTCTGTATATACTGTGAAAATGGTACCCTCAATCATATGTCGGAAATGTTTTATTGCCAAGTAAATCGCTAGGAGTTCTCTTCCGAAAGTACTATATCTTGTTTGTGTCGGATTCAGTCTTTTCGAAAAAAATGAGAGCGGTTCCCATATGCCATTTACTAATTGTTGTAAAACGGCTCCTACCGCTACGTCTGATGCATCCGTCATGATAGCTAACGGTGTTTCGCTCTTTCGTCTAGTTAGTGTCACTTCTTTATTTAGTGCTTTTTTAGCGTTCTCGAATGCTTGAATCGCGTCTGGTGATAATTGGAATGTCCGTGCGTTTCCGCGTAATGCATCTGTTAGTGGTTGCAATATTGACGCACAATTCGGGATAAATCGTCTGTAATAATTTATTAACCCGAGAAATCGGCGTAACTTTTTCCATGAGTCGGGTAGGGGATAATTCCTAATGGCGTCGACTTCTGTTGCTATTGGTGTGATGCCTTGAGAAGTTATATTGTGACCTAGGAACTGTAAAGATTCTTTCCGAATTCACACTTCTCAATATTTATAGAAATGCCATGTTCTCTGAGTCGCATAAATAATTGCCGTAGTTGTTGTATATGCTCATCTTTAGTGGTGCTAGCTACTAATAAGTCGTCGATATACGCGTATACTCCAGGTAAACCTCTAATGACCTGGTCGATAAATCGTTGAAAGGTTTGTGCCGCGTTAGTCAGTCCAAAAGGCATACGCAGGAATTCATATAGCCCAAATGGGGTTGTTACTGCTGTCTTCGGTATGTCTTGAGGGGCAACAGGAATGTGGTAGTATGCTCTGACTAAGTCGATCTTCGAGAAGATAGTAGTGCCCTCAATACTGTAGGTGAAATCATGAATGTGCGGTATAGGGTATCTGTCAGCTACTGTTTGTTTGTTCAGTGCTCTGTAATCTCCACATGGCCTAACCTCTCCATTCTTTTTCGGGGCCATATGTAGCGGGGATGCCCACGGGCTGCTCGATGGCCTTATAATGCCTAGCCTCATTAGCTTGTCGAATTCCTGTTTTGCGACGGCTAGTCTTTTGGGATCTAACCTTCTTGGTCTTGCATTGATTGGTGGACCATTCGTTACGATGTGATGCTGAATAGAATGTTTGAGATCCGCCTTATTGTATGTTACTTTTACGAGTTCAGGAAACTCCCTTAACAACAATTTATATGGATCACCACGACTTTTATCTATCACAAGGTTCATTGAAACGGCTTCCGTAAGTATTCCTCTTATCGAAGTGGTTTGACTGCCGTTTATAAGTCTGTGTCGTCTAGAGTCTACTAGCAGGTCAAAGTTACATAAGAAATCTATGCCTATTATGGGCATTGATACGTCTGCTATGACAAAGTTCCAGCGGTATGAAGCGCCACGTCCAAAATCTAGGGACAATTTCCGCTTACCATATGTCTTAATATCTGATTTGTTTGCTGCTCTTAGCACTAATGACGGATTAATGTTTTTTCTTTCCTCGTTAAATGGAGGTACTACGCTAATTTCCGCTCCAGTGTCAACTAAGAATTGTGCGCCAGTGGTTCAGTCTTGTATATAAAATAGGCGACTATTTTCAGGCATTATATGCGTTGATGCCGTTGCCATTGATACTCGTGGGTATCGGTTACTAGCCCTGTTAAATCTACAATGTTGTAGGCACTTTCTAGCCCTGTAGCCGAACATTTGATGATACCAACATATCGCGGGAGTTGTGCGTCGTCTAGAAGTTGACCGGGTCCTTTCACGCGAGCGATCTCGCGATGACCTTCGTGGCTTTTCTCTCTGCGTTAATTCTGTGAGTTTGCGGCATAAAACATTTATTTCCTTCTGTAGAGTATCAAGTCTATCGTCTACCGTCACGTTGTGTAGTGGAGGGCTTGCTTGCTTGCTTCTTTCGTATATTCTATCGGCTATCTTTGCCATATTGTCTAAATCAGCATCCGTATCTCCCACAGCTAGTATCTGCTGTATTTTTGCCGGGAGTCGGCGGAGCCACAGTTGATAAAAGAGATTATTGTCAATGTGTCTATCGCCAAGTAGACTTTTCATATAATTTTTTAGCTGTGATGGGGTTCTATCTCCAATTTGTACTTGATTAAGGAGTTGTTCGACGGCTTGTTGGTCACTGAGAGAGAGTTTTAATTACTGCCTCTTTTAGCACGTCGTATGGTTTTTCTGTGTCTGGTTTTGCTAGTGCCTCTCGAACGCTGTCAGCTACTTCGTCTGGGAGTAGTGTGCTTGTCAGGCCGAACTTATCCTTTTGCAAAAGAATGCGGTTAGCGAGAAAATAATTTTCAAGTCTTATAAACCAAAGTTTTGGGTCTGTGATTTTAAAAGAAGGGGCAGGGAGGTTAAGAGACCTCACGGACGAGGCTTGCTGTACGCTTGAAACTGTGTTTTCATAAGACATGCTTATAAAAATTAAGTAGCACACGAAAATAATTTAACAGTCACAAGGAAAAATAGGTGGGCAAAAACAATGATAATAAAAAAATGGCACAATTTATAAAATGGAACAGACTTACTAAATTGCACCAATATATCAATTGTTTATGGATAATTGTTATTTATTATGATTATAATCGTCACGTTTAATAATGTTTGCGAAATAATGTAAGTGTAATTAGAATAATAATATAAATCCACAGTTGCAATTATAGTTCATTTGATAATCCAAATTGAGATGAAGGTAGTCGGATTTTTGAAATTTGATTATTTCGTCAAAATTCGCTTCCCGTTCTCACGTCGGGATTACCAATTCTGTAGTGGCTGTGCTTCGATAATTAATCGCCCTCGAACCGTTATCGTATAATCTTCAACGATGTTTGAAATCAGAAGGCAAAAAGAAGCAGCTACTACAGTTTATTTAGTAGATAATTCGGACCAGACAGCAGAGAGGCAAAATGAATGAGCAAGCGAACTACGATTGTAGCAGTAGCAAGTAGTAGTAGTAGTAGTAGTAAATGGGTGCAAATGTACACATATATATATGTATAGGAAAATGGATGAGTCAGCGAATAGATTAAGCAGTTAATAATGAAGCTAGCCGAATGAATACATGCGTAGGCGCTAAACAATGTTCAAGCATATGTATTTCATACAAGCATAATAATAAAGATAGTACAACAAGTTGTTATATCATGGATGACTTTGTCCATTAAATAGGTCAACAAAAGGCCTTGACTGAACTAAACTGGAATGCACGTGAGTCGCTATAAACCCTTTAGGCTTTTTTGAGGAATATCCTGGGTCTCCCCAACATTAATAAAATGATTAAACAGTAGTTTTATCACTAACTGATAAATTTTCTAATACTGTCTATTTTTTACCACTTATAATTTAGTATAACTTGTTGTAGATGAAACCATCTTGATTACATAATAGATTAGATCTTTACAACTATTTAAATATTTCTCTTTTCATTAACCTTTTTCAATGTAAAAACTTGTTCTTGAGGGAAATAGAGGCTACCTTCAGGTATTTTCATTAATTAATGTAATGCGTGGAGTAAATAAATAAATTTGTACAATAACTAATTTTAAGATTTCCTACATATTGATAATAAAATCTATTTGAACACTTGGCTTTTGGCTTGTTTAATCACGATAAAATAATCTGTTTTTAAGCAGGCTTGTTATTTTTGATTATTACAATCCACGTTTGTTTGTCGTCGTGACAGAAAATTTTGGTCAGTGAAACGCAACCGAGAGATTTCTTTAGATATCTAGTTTATTTTGTATAATATAAATCTATTTCACCAACCGTTTTTCCTCTTCTAAATGAAATAATGATTTGATTAGAACGATTTTTATTAAGCCTCAGTGTCTGGACTTAAAGCGATTGGCTTGTATAGAGAAATCACAACACAGAACACAGTCAATAACGCAGAAGGTTCTGAAAAATTATGCACAGGACCTTACTTTAGCATTATAAATCAAACCGTGAATATTTTGTCATATGGTAAGAGTAAAGCCAAAAAAATGATTTAGGCAGAATAATATGAATCCGTTATATTTTGTGGTGTCTCTTCGTCTGCTCACAACCGTATGTTTACTCACTTGTAACATTAGGGTATATTGTAATATGTAATACTTGTAATGATAGAAAAGTTCATTTCCCATCAAGTTCCAACGAATTTGAGACTGAAAGGTGAAATAGCTTAACACTTAAACGACAGCGGGCAAATTATTAGTGCCAGTCCGTCAAAACTATCAACAGACAAAATAAATAAGCTTCTCATCGTTTAATTAAAGCAGTAGGAATTAAAGATATCCCAGAGAGTTATTAATTCATCAGTGCCTTGATTGATTCACATCTCTGATGAAAGTCACCTATGGTAAATTTCATTATTACTATTGTTTTACTGTGTTAATTTTGTTATGCTATATTTGCTAAGCCAATTGGTAATTCATCCGCCCTAGAAATTACTTTTCCATTCATCTGTGTTTTTCACTCCTCTAGTCCCCAAAAATTTATACAAGCTTTTCAAGCATTCGAATTGTTGTGTAATCTATCTCGTTAGGTTTTAGATATCACACAATTACTCCTCGCCCCCTTAATTTTTTGGGATTTCACCACCAAATAATTTTACGCTTATATATATCTTGAGATAAAGAGAGGAGTAGTTCAAAATTGGGGTGAGAATGAGTGCCAGTCATGTCGGATAGGTTGATGTAAAATAACCCACATAAATCATTAGACTGCAATGTTAATTACAATACCTGAAAATCACAAATTTCATTCTGGCTAATATAAACAGCATTCAAAGATATTGTCGGGTGAATATAGTGATTTTTAGCTGAATTACATGCAATGATGAATTTAGTAGGTGCAAAAGTTAAAGTATAAATTAAACCAATTTCGGTAAAAGTCATTGATATAAACTTTGATCATCAGGACGGAGACAACGAATTTATTAATTTCAACAATATAAAATATGTAATCTATTCCTAGGATTCAAATGAATTGAAATCCAACTAAATGACGAGTTCACAACGAACGAAATTATTTTTAATAGAAAATGTTAATTTTTTTAAACTGCTGACACATTCCCATAGTGACTCATGTTATTCTTATGTAATTTATACGACAGACGAACTCTATTATTCGTTTCCAAATTCGTAATAAAGATGCCCACAATCACAGCGGTTACGTTCCCTGATAGTTAGTTTTGTTCTTCCATTTTTAGTAGATCCTCTTTATACTTCATATATAAACTTGAATTAATTTTAATTTGGTTATATATCCTCTGAAGAAGTGACTTACACTAAGCCACGAAACGCCAGAAAATCTAATTTTTCTACTCATTGGGATGTTACAAATATACTATTTATTCATATAGTCTTTGTTTACCTAAATACTTCATTATGAATTTTCCATATTTTTAGCTGTTGGCGTACACTGTGTGATAGTATTACTGTAACTTATCACTATTTTTTTATTGATAAGATGCCTGTCAGTTTACTAAAATTGTTTTTTACAATAATTGGTAAATTCGTAATCAGAGCCTATTCTCAACATTGACTGGCAGATCAACGTAGTTTAACTATTCTAATATATATATTTCTCTAGTTATGCATACCGATAATATAACTGAAGTTATATTTTGAAAGACACTTATTAACTTTAACATTCTTACAGAATTCTGCTGAAGCATTCATAAATTAAGAGTGTCTACCTTTTATGTTATTGTTTATCAAAATCAACATTGTTCATCCATATGATTATTAAAATTTGTATACATGAAATAAAAACTTAAACAGAAAAATAATTCAATTGATTATTCTCTTATCAGTTGTATCGTAGAAGCTCATGAGATCGTAAGTCAATTAAAGCTAGACAACCATGGAAAACCTAGGAGTCCTGAACGGCCGTTTCGTCCTATTGTGGGACTCCTCAGCGGCGCACATCCGTGATTCATGGTCTCAACTACTAAAATTACTATAATATCTACGAAAACCCCTTCGAGTATAATTTAAGTTAGAAAATGTAATTATATATAGAAAAGCTTAAGACTAGACAAACTGAAATATTTGATCTTACATAATACCATTAATTGATGTGTACGACTAATTGATTCTGTCCACTCGATATGTTTTACTAAACAGGTGAATAGCATACCATCGGAGATTCTGGAAATGTTACTTAATTTCAGTCTGCTAACCACACGTTTTCCACCATAGATTCCAGGGAACTGTAAATAAAAGAATGTTTTGAAAATGTATAAATGAAATTAATTAATTTAAAAAAAATTTATTTGACATCCATGTGGACTCTAAAAAAATGCCCTCAGATTATTTGCCTTATATGATGGATTTAAAAATCCACAGGTCTTTTTTTCTTATTATAAAGTTTCAGTGAATCATTAAAATTATGTTTAAATAATCTATTTATGTCATTTCTCATAAATCAAATTAGCTAGCTACTCAGACAGTTAACCTCAAATGAATCAGTTTTACATTCCAAAACGGGTTACAGTTGACAGATATTTTAACTACGTAGTATATAGTATCATTTGAATGTTGAAAACCAAGAAAATAAACGGTTGAACTAGGATGAAGTATATTTTTAGTTATTTTAAGCAACACTTAATTGCATAATGAAGTTTGAAAATACTTGTTTTGATAATCTATTTGATCCATAGTTTTTGTTTGAACTAATTTGGCGAAAAGGTGTTATATCCATAACAAAAAGCATCAAATTCCTAGATTGATGAGCAAGGTAATAAATGCTAACCAAATGGTTTAGTAGATTATTTTAAGGTGTAAAACAGGGACAAACAAGTGGTGATGAAACAGTTTATATTATTGAATATCTTAAAGCTACTAGAGTACTACTTGACCATAATTAGGAATATAACAGTTTGTGCCCTGACATATTGATAATATTGTTGGTCTGAACAGTACAACCAGTTCATCAGTGACGAAAACATGATTGGTCAATATTTATGGAGCTTTATTAGTGAATAAAAATTGTATCATTCTATAAACTTGATTTCATTCATAAAATTTGGTTCATGTTTACCATCTGATAGGTATGTGTTACCTTAAGTAGTCGATATAAATTGTCAAGCAATTGATAAAAACGAAATTTTTGGATGTGCTTATTTTACTTCCGTACTGTCTTAGTCAAAACAGTTTTGCGATAAATAGGAAATTTGTTTAAAAACAGACACATTAGTCAGTTAACAATATAGTTTGTGAAGAAACTGCTATCAATGCATAAAATAACACTTAGTAAACCACGGAAAACTAACGACTACCAAGGGTCAAGAGGTAAAAAAATAAGATAATCTGTAATGTCTTTAAATAGGTTAACTGGATTTTAAACTACATTCAAAGTATGTGAATGTCATCTAATGAAACACTTGTTTGATGAAGGTGATATTTAGTAATTCGTTACAAACCACCTCTTACTATATTTATGACTTTTTCTAAGTATCTAATACAACTGTGGATGATCATTTATGCAACTTATGAGTCCCGTGTCCCATCTCAAAATTTCATATGCATACACTACAGAATAAACCGATTGCAGTTGACCGACCTTAAACTTCTGATATTTGTCTATCGCCTGTTTAATATGACGGAAACAAATAACTAAACCATTAAAATTTTATCTTCGAGAAATTTTAGTTAATTTATTTCATTGGTTTGAGATGGTGTAAAAACTTTTTTCTCGGTCTAAAAGAAATCTGTTATTTCTGTCTATATTTATAAGACAAAGCTTCAGCTGACTAACAAAATGCAGTTATCTTCTTCATCAGGGTTTTTATTTTTAATTTCAAAGCATATTTCTAATTAGCCCTCAGATTCTTATTTTTTTTAATACTCAGTCTCATTTACCGCGTTTTTTTATTGACATCTACACATGTATGTTAATAGTTACAGTCAATAATTCGATAAAAAGATTTTAAAGTAACTAGTCCCTTTTATAAATTTCAATAGAACAATTAGAAGACAGAGTAGATCTGAAAAATGATGTATTTGCTCTATACATTTCGAAAAACCCGGTCACACATATTTATCAGGGCATTTTATATGAAAATTCATAAATATCAATTAAATGGAATTTCAAGCAAAGATGGTAACAAAGGGGGGATAAATTCAAGGTTACGACAAATTCAATTGGTGTTGTTTTACTTGTATCTTCCCATTGTTATATAGGACTGCAATTGATCAGTCCCATGTTAGCATATGTGCATCCTGTACGGATTGCCTCGATATAGCCTTAAGTCACAAGCTTTTTAAGCAAATATGTATAGTGGCTAGTAGTGGAATCCAAGATGCGCGTTGGTTGTATAGTTATTTAATTTATGTAGATTACTCACTTGTATAAACAATAAACACTATTCATTGAAGACAAACACTAATAATCACTATATAAAAAATATCGTAGCTAAATTTTACTGTTCTTTTGTCATTATTATTAGTTTTACAAATGTTTACTATTTACATTGTATTATGTTGATATGCATATATATATATATATATATATATATATATATATATATATATATGTCTGCTAAAGAAAACGAGATAACTTTGTCTATTCATCTACTAACCTTCAAATTTTATTGTAAATCACTTTGTTTAAGTTAATACTACATGAAAAGGAAGAAGAAGGAGGTGAAGAGAAGTGGATTGACGTTTAAACATTTTTTTTTTAATTTTCATTTTCTTTGTATGAATTACGTTATGTTTACACGTACATTATTAAAACAAAATGTACTAAGTGATCAATCACCACAGGGAATAGTTTATTATTTCAACTTGAAACATGTAAATAAATATATTTTGAAAAACTATAACCATATGTTTCATCAGTTGCCTAGTTATTAATAAACATAATAAAGTGTTCTAAAGAAGATATATAATTGATTTAAACGATAAAAGATATCACGTAAAGCTATCTACTAATTTTAACCTGGTTAATATCTAAATTAATAAGAGTATAGAAACCAGTTGGTTTATTATTCAATATATATAATCGTTACTGTGCAGTGGTAAATATTTAACTATTATATACATATTCAGATTCATAAAAGTGATTCAATATCATTTGTTGAAGTTGATGAAATCTTAAATAAATACTCTAATCTGTTAAAGATAACATAATGAACTGAAGAGTTAAAATATGAAGTTATCATGTTTTTTTCCATTATTGATTTAAATTATAAGCTACTATGGCAATCAAGTTTCAACCCTTATTTTATTACAAGAAATCCACTAGTAATTCATGTATTCTAGCAATTTATGTATCTTAGATACCTTTTTTCCTAGATATTCTTCCACCAATTATAAAATTTTACAGTTGAACTCACGAGTCAATTGAAGCTAGACCATTACGAAAAATCTGGAAGCACTGGACGGCAGTTTCGTCCCACTGTAGGGCTCCTCAATAGGGCGCATCCACGATCTCGTCTCGCGAGATTCAAATCTAGGACCCAATGGTCTCGTGCCCAAACACTTAACCTCTAAACCACTGGGCCATCATTTAATGGAATTATTAAAACTTGGTTAATTAGAGGCATATTAAAATACGATTATTTCACTATTTTAAATTCTTAATTTTAAAATAAACACTAGAGTTAAATGAAGCGGAATATATTTTGTAATATCATTGACACATTTAGAAATCACATTGTCCAAAACAGTGAAAAATCCGTCAAGGTAATATCTTTTATTTATTCTCTTATCTAAGAAACAATTCTACTTTTTTTTACAATATTTAAATTAATGAATTTGTTGGTGACTAATAATAAACTTTAAAGGTTTTATCTTAATTATTGACAATAACAAATTAATGAGGTTTGTTTTTCTAAAATGTCAAAGGATAGAAAGCCTTAGAAATTGTTAAACAGAAAATGTTTCAAGTTAATTTACTGATTTTTTTTCTAGTTTAACTAATGTCAAATGCTTTTTTTACTATTAAAACAATAAAATGTATTAAACCATATTCATTTTAAAGGTATTTATCTGATATAATATCAAAATGTAACGTCTAATATACATGGTTTACTCCTTATTGCAGCTTAATTTAGTAAAATATATTAATCTATAGTACTAAATCCCTTAAAGTCATAATTGTAACAACTAGAAAGATGAATATTTTTTTATGTATTAAATAGAATCTGCAAGATCATAAAGTAAGATGAAGATAGGATGTTAGGAAAGAAATACAGGGAATGCTTTGCTTGACTACAGGGTATTCTGATAATTAATTTTCTTTAAAAAAAAACGATGTAATCCACTGAGGTATTTTAGTGAATTTGTAAGTTATACAAATAGTTATATATTTTAAATAAGTGATTAGATACTGGTTAGCGTTCTTGTAGCGAGTTTGTTTTCTACTGGATGGGGTCGCTAACCCCATGCCCAACCCTTCTCCTTCATCCGGGCTTGGAACCGGCAGTAGCCCCCGGAAAGACTTCAGACGGAGCAGTATATTTACAACTAAAGAACATCTGGGACTCTAAACAATTGTCAATCAACACCAAGATCAGGATTTTTTAAACAAACGTCAAGACAGTTCTACCCTTATAAGGCGGAAACTTGGAGAACTACGAAAGCCATCATCCAGAAAATACAGGTGTTTATCGACAGTTGTCTACGCAAAATACCTCGGACCCGTTGGCCAGACACTATTAGCAACAACCAACTGTGGGAGAGAACAAACCAGATCCCAGTGGAGGAAGAAATCAGGAATAAGCGGTGGAAGTGGATAGGACACACATTGGGGGAAGCAACCAACTGCGTCATAAGGCAAGTCCCCACATGGAATCCTCAAGGACGAAGGAGGAGAGGACGACCAAAGAACACATTACGCCGGGAAGTGGAGATAGACATGAGAAGAATGAACAAGAATTGGATGGAACTAGAAAAGAAGGCCTAGGACAATGCTTGTTGGCGGCCTATGCTCCATTAGGAGTAACAGGCGTAAGTAAGTAAGTGATTAGATACAATACGATTATTAGATATTATTATGTTGTTCAAAGGTAGAACAGGGATAATGGAATCATTTCTTAAATCTAAGATATTGAACCGTTATATGATTTAATAGTGAAGTAAGAAATAACTGTTATGTTATTTCATCAAACATATTTCTTTATTTGGTTAAACAAAATTCATTCATTTAGATCTATTTTCATAAAGGTTTTTTTATTTTGTTCATTTTTAAAATGTCTAAGGGTTCACGAAACTTTTACTTTCTATAAATGGCTTAGGTGATTTATGGATATTTATTACTTTATTACTAATTTTACAATACATAAAATGCACTTACTGTTTCAGTTGTAATTTTTAAATTTGGTTGATAATTTGTATCAATTTTTATCAAGGAATTTTCCATCATTACACTTTCTGTAGTAGTCTTTTGTACACTATCTGAAGAATTATGCTTGAACCAAGTGATCACTGCAGGAGGATGAGATGATGTGGCTGTACATTCAAGTATTTGCTCACCGGATGTTTCTTGAATTCCATTTTGGGGAATTGCAATCAAATTAATTGCTGATGGACAAACTATACCGGAAATAAAACATTTAAATTATTTTTCATAATCTTGAGCAATAATATTAATTTGTTCTGAATAAATAAATTTTATTATAAGATTTTGGTGGACATAAAATTCATTGAAACACAACCATCCCCAATTTACTGTGGAAATAGTTTTTTTCTATCATAGGTGTGATTGTTTAAATACTTCTTATTTATTTGCCCAAACATTTATCAAATGTAAAAATATCTTCCTATATCCCCAAGCAATGTATTCGAAACATACTATACGGTTGATAGATTTGATGAATGAAATTTCCAAAGTATTTCATTTGTTTACTTTGGTAATATATTTATGGTATCATTTATGAATAAATTATTCATTAGACAAGAACTTTAAACAATCTTTTATAACTCTTAAAAACCATATGTCACGCAGTCCCTATGCAGTACGACACTGTTAATCAAATAGGATCGTGCATAGCTTAATTCACCTACTTTGAGAATAATTACGATGTGGATACAGTTTTTTTATAAGTAAAAGATTTACTTTCAATTGTATTCCTGATGCTTGATGGTATGAAGATATGTAAATTAATTAACTGGATACACCAAAGCAGTATTGTATAAGTTCAGTTTCTTCCAGTTGTTTCTCATTACCTAAAATATGTGATATGTTAACTTTCATACGCTTAAATTAATTTTAGATTTGGTAAATATGTATATATTAATGAATACTACATAAATTAAAACATGAGTTTAAGTGTGTCACATGATTAAACAACGTTCATCAGTTTGATTCTTGATGTTACAATCGGTGGTTTGCTTCTAATAAATCATAACTAATAAAAATACTCTATTTTAACAAAATTGGTCATTTTAAGGAGTGAACAGGTTTAAGTCTCCTAAGATACAGAAATTCCTTGAAGTTAATTCAACTACTTAATATGAAATACCAGCACAATTTAGGTCCTACAATTTTACTTTATTTAATCTGTTTGACAATATGAATACTGGAAATTCGATTAAATTGATTTGGAATACGACTCAGTTATTAAACGAACTAAGTTTTATAACTAACTATTTTCTATTTATTGTGGATTATACAACTAGTATTGTCCTAAAATCTTATATTAAGAACGTTGATAATTATACAAGGATCATATCACAATAGTTTTATGCCAGGAACATGAGAAGGTGTATATGGTGTCGAAAATTGCATATTTCTTCATGACATTTCATATAGCTTAGTGATTTTCGAAAAAAGAGCCATCTTAGCTAAAGTGAAACATTTCGCTTTTTCGATTCAGTCTACCGATAACTCAGTGAATTAACACAAAATTTACTGTTTAAGCACATCATTTATGCAGGTTCGTACGTTCTAATATCAAACAGGGGTAAAGTTAAAAAATAAGTTCAGGTTTAACAAACAAATGGCATTTCCTTAAATCGACGAAATGATCGAGAGGATGCCACATGTTTACTTAGATGATAATTATTTCTTTGATTTCATGCCTTCTGATTATTTATAGACAAACCTAGCATCAAACATTAATCGCTAATGAATTGTATTTAGTATTTTATGGCCTTATATATCTATTATGATTCAGGTTTTTGAGAGGTTGTTAATTTATGGTATCAGAGCATTACTAATAATCACTGAAATAACAAAAAAATTTGAGATATTTTGAGTCAGTAATATCAACTCACAAAATACTTCAGTAAGAAGGTAAGCTGTTTTTTGATATGTAATCATATGATTGGTAGCTTCCGAAACTTGTTTCACATTGTAGTTTCCTTCCTCATTCCAAATTAAGTGGCAAGATACCCGTGCACCGTTGAACCATGGTCGTCCAGTTAAACGTACTTCACTGTATGCTATATAACCCCCATTGTTAGGATCGTGTTTGGTATCCGAATAGATGTCCGACATTATATATTCAAAGTCAGAATTTGTCGTTGGTTTCATGACTGTTTCTTTTTCATTTGATTTAGAACTTCTTTTTGATACTGAAGACAAATACTCCATTGCAGGTGTCAATTCCCATAAAATTTTCGCTCTTGGATTGCTTCCTTTTGAAGACTGACATGTAAATACTTTAGTACGATTTTCACTTACTGGACCATGTGGTACGGAAGACAGGATAGGATCTTGAGGTGAAACTATAATCAGAATAAGACAGAATCAATTTTGTGAACTCACAGGAATTATGCGAGTTCAAAATCTATTTTTCTATAGTTCGCTTAAGTGATTTTAGATAAATAATATTTCTAACTAATTTATTATACACCACTTCATTAAAATTAGATAAAAAAAAGAATAAACTTTGTTTTCATTTAGTTGAAAATATTGTCCACACAGATATAGGAAACTTAGTTGTTCGGTGAAAACATTTATCTGAAACACATACATTGATAATATAATCAAGTAAACCTGATCGTGTATTTGTCCATTTAATTATGAACCATAAAGAAAACAGGTTATCAGAGAATGTTTTAACTAATACAATTTCGTTGATTACAATTTATATGTATACTTAGAAATAGAATCTTACTAATGATCATGGATTATCACTTATTCACATTGTCGACAAACACCACTTTATTAGCAATAATAATTACCTGTTTAATGTATTCAATAAATGCTAGACCATTGTCATTGGTCAACAGTTTGAAATAGGCCGTCGTTCAAAAAAGTCAACATCAGTATTAATACCAATGTATTTTTAAGTTCTCACAAAAAAACGAACTGTACTTCCCTGAAATGAAATTGTATTTTAAAATTATTGATTTGTCTGCCATTTCTCTGTTTTTTAAATATGTCTAATAATGGGAATTCGACAAATTGTTAATATCGGATGGGTTTTTGTAGATATTATGGTAATTTCAATGGTTAAGATCATGAGTCAGTTAAAGCTAGACCACCATGGAAAACCTGGAAGCACTGGACGGCCGTTTTGTTCTGTTGTGGGACTCCTTAGCAGTGAGCATCCACGACCTCACACCCTGCGAGATTCGAATTAAGGACCAACTGGTTTCGCGCGCGAGCACTTAACCGCTCGACCACTGAGCCGGCATCCTACACTGTTAATCTCTAACTTCAAATAATCCATGAAATTGAGCATATTGTATGCCAACATTGTTATATCATCTTTCTTCCATAAATAAATATATCAACAGTTATCTGCAGTTCAATTTTGTATTGGTTGTTTGAAACTTCTCATTGACGTTTAAGTCTGCAGTTGATCAATCTCTTTTTGACCTATATACACTATCTATTTCTGTTTATAATGCTTGTGATTTAAGGCAACATTGAGGTAATCCGCACAAGACCCACATATGCTAATGAGAGACTGATCCATTACAGTCCTAAACATCATTAGAAAGATTCAAACAATCAATACAAAAATGATTTAAACTTCAACCCATTGCACAAGCTAGGAGCTCTTTAGACTCAGTAACTAAGTGTATAACGCGATGACATTTTAAATAAATGGTACTAGATTTAAGTTCCAGAGTGAACATCAATTCTGAGATGTAGATACATCCAGTTGACCAGTCTTAAATAGGACGAAACAAGTGTCCTGTATTCCACTTCAAGCCACCATTCATCTCTACTTATATAACTACTGTCTTGTGAATAAATATTTTTAACGTTTTGAGTGATCAGTAATGAGTTCGTGTTCTAGTAAATTCGTTCGAACAAATGTTAATCTATTCAGATAAAAATAATGAGGCAAATAAATTTTATGATTTCATATCACATCTCTAACCAACATGGTATCATCATGAGATCAGGACTAATTAAGTACATAATGATGGAATTTCTATAATTGTAATCCCAGTGATCGCCTTCATTTTTTGGCGATACATTTTAACTAACTAATTTTTATTACTTCTTCAACAGATAAAATATATCTTATACTCAAGTGAGCCTTTTGAAAGGAAAACTCATTATAGAAATTTAGAATCTTTTTACATCTTGAACATAAAAACGTATATATATATAGTACTCACAAATAATTTTAACTTTAATAAATAGCGAGAACATTTGATCTTTAATGATTGGGCTTGTTGCAGCACATCCAAAACTGGCAGTATTATCAGCTTCTGTTAATTGCCACTTTAATTCTGTAGATTCTGTTGTCTGAGTTATATTTTCTAGGATATGTTTCGAAGTGAAAGAATTTGAACGAATCAGTGAAATATTTCCATTATCAAGCGGAGCATTTATGCGATAAAAGTAAATCGATGGCTTTGGTTTACCACCATGTATATGACAAGTGAATGTGACATTTGTTTGTGCTCTATAAGGCCCATGAGGTTGAACTGTTATATTTAAGGAAGTAGGGGGATCTGAGTTAAAAAAACAAAAGCAAAACGAAACATTTTAACCATAAGATTTAGAGAATCAGATGCGCGAATATAAAGTATGGTGATTCCTGACAATAACGCCAATGAAAGGTTTATATTTATTTACAGAATATCTGCAATGTGGTCTTTACCAAGGGATTCACTAATATTATTAATTCTAAGAGGCACGTTACGAAGGTGCATTATATTTGACCTTCATCAAGAGTCCTAGAACTTAAGTCTCAAAAGTAGCCACTTTTTACGAGTTTGTTTAATTTGGTAGCTTCTGATCACTTTCTGAAGTAATTAATGCATATACTCAATACATATACGTTAGACTAGAGTTCCTGGGTCCGAACTTCGTGTGTGGAGCCGATGATACTCACTGCTAATGAGTCCCATACCAGGACGACAGTCGTCCAGTGTTTTTATGTTTTCAATAGTGGTCTAACATTCGTCGGCTCTTGATTTTGATGAAATTTAGCTACCTCCATAACTCCTAACTGAAATATAATCATATTATTATTTACTATAATCTCAAACCAAAGTAACAAATTAGTATTTCATTTTATCTAGGTACCTAGGTTTATAAAGGATAAAGTTATTAGGCTTGCAAAATAAATTTTACCTCGGGGTAGAATGATATGAAGAATCACCAAAATTCATTGCCCATTGATCTTTAAGCGATGTTCACCATTTAGCAAAATGACCTAGCTTAGAAAACATTTAATGGATAAGTGATATCGTGTTGATTGTAAGACTGTAAAATATGCTAAATAATCTCTTGTGTTGAGCTACTGGTGCTCACTGGTGAAGAGCTACAATTTAGAGTAAGGCATATGTTATGGTGTCTGATTTCATTTACTGTTGAAAGCTATCTTCAATATAAAAAAGTCACCACACATCACCAACATGAAATAATGCTTGTTTGACTTCATTTGTATTTTAAACTAAAGGTATGAATATTTCTGACTTCAAATAAATGAAAAGCTTTAGGTTATCAGTCGCTCAAAACAAATGATTGGAAGTCCGTTGTTCTAAAAAGACTACGAAAGCTTCAGGATAAAACTACCCAAGTTAGAGAATACAACTCTGCCAAAATAATCCTTATGTACCTCAAATCTTCTCAGGCATCTCAAATCCGATTTTCGTATATTAATGGATATCTAAGTTGCTGATAATTTACAAGATAAAGTGCTACCACATACTATAATGTTTTACACAGACCTTATCAAAACTCTGCAATCATACCTACATTAACAACAACTTTTGGAATCGATTTAGTTTGGAAAGTTTATGAAACGAGCAGTTTTCTTTGAGAAAACATACAATAGATTATTTTGAGTGACTTAGAACACTTAACAAGGAGATTATATTTATGAAAAATATATGGATATATTAAAGCAATACACTTAGAACTATCTGATGAACTAATAAACTGTTCAGATATTTTGATGAACAATTAAAAGGTCAAGGTCAGTAGGCTTTGCCTTTATCTTTGAATAAATTTATTGCCGAAATTGAAATTGTAAAACAGCATACTGTATCAATATAATTTAAATAAAGTGGACAAAGTCGACATTTCAGGGTATCGTAACATACATAACCATCTTTAAAAACTGTACAAACGAAATAAACATATTCATTTGATTTTGAGTTAAAAACACTCAAGACAAAAGTGATCACTCACGAAATACTTCCAAGTGTAACCGACGTACTGTCGGATCTTTTTTAAATCTCAGTTTTTCAGATGAGTTGCTTGATCCTGAAGTCACGTTTTCACTGTCTTCCCACATTTTTTCATTTAATGAATTCGATTGAGATTGTAATATATGACAGCTATATACTCCATCGTCAGACGGTTGTACAGATAAAAGAGTCAATACGGAGATTGTATCAGATATACGCAACGTTGAATGAGCAGGTGGCATTTGAGTTCCTATTCGACGCCAGACAAACGTGTACCATGGAGCTTTAGGACTAGGTGCAGCCTCACATGTTAGTTTGACATTAGTTCCAATTTTGACAGGGTTAGGTGGACTTGAAGTCAAATATAGCAGTGCTGGTCTATCTATAAATATAAAAAGAACGAATCAACAACTGGGAATACATTAGAATTATTATGTCAACCGATGAATCAAACAAATTTCAGAAAATCGTTTCACATAAAGCAATAAACCTTTACCAGGATCATTTGTGAAACACATCAAAAGGGTTCAGTTTTCGTATCTCCAGGTCCTTGAAAACGTTTGTATACAACTACAAAGACCAACTTTATATTAACCTAATGACGGGTCTCAACCAAATGTTTCTCAATAATGTATTATATTTATCTATCCTGCGATCTGATTTAACTATTAAAATTCATTTGCATCTGTGGTCATTCAGGCTGATATCTTCGGTTCTGCTCATATTTTATCCGCTTATATTTAAGTCAAAGTCTACTTGTTTCTAGCTTGATTATCAGTACATGAAAATATTGTCATCACATGTTTGGATATATACATTAATAATGGACTTCTCCTTATGATTAAAATACTTGTCATACGCTTCGCTTAAAATATCCTGGTAGTATGTATATATATAGGTATAGAATTACTGTCAAATAGTTAGATAACAAGTTTTGATTGCCGAATGATTAGGATACGATTAACAACTATCTTAATGTATAGGAAAATAGGCTTTGGTTTTTTATAGATATGATTACACATTTAGGTAAATAATCTTTATAAACATCTGAATTTATTTTAAAACCTGAACATCATATTTTAGAACTATCATGTTTCTGTACTTGACAAACCAGGAAATATCGTGTTGATATCCATTTTTCTAAACGGCCGAGAATGAAGATTCTTGTTCCATTCCAATGATCCGTTCAAATTATCGGACAAACAATATACACTGTTAGTCGCAAAGTTTCTTGTTAAGATTTTCCAAGTGATTTGATTAGCAGTAGTTTCATATGTCAATATAGAAAACAAAGTTTTAATATACATACGTATATCTTCATATCTAAGTTATATTCAACAAATAGTTAAAAATTTCCCAAGGCACACATAAACATACAACTGTATTATGAATCATTGCTGAAACAGGGTAGTGCTAGATACTTTTTAATCATTGGTCCATATTAATATCAAAATTGTAAAATGTATAACATTGTTGTGAATGTTTTCACCCTTCATATGCATAGATTTTAATTAATTCAACTCATATAGCTGATGATACTTGTTTGCTGAACAGTATTTCGTCCACTTCTAACGTCTAAATTGATTATATAACCTAATATTTAGAAAATCATATCCATAACAGATGTGTAAATGATGAATGTATATTGTATTTACTGAAGTTTTTTAAAAGGCAAAGATCATATTTAAATAGATATGATTCCAAATATTGGTTTTTAAGCAAAAAATGTTTGAATTTGTAGCTCAGGTAGATGATTTTGGTGAAAAAGAAAAGTCTGAATGCATGAAATATCTCAGTTATACATAAAAATATTCTTTAGTTTATGCTATATAAATCAGAGGTTAACTACATTTGAAGCAAAGAAAATATCCGATCACTTATGACGCCAAAATATGAAATCACCTATGAACAATTAATTTTTTTCTAATTCGAAACGACGCCAAAATTTAAACGAAACTTTCAATCGTTTAAGTTTAAATTTATCGATTTATTGAAGTTAACTGATAAACAAAGTTGCTAAAATTAGTTGTCAGCTATATAATCAGCTGATTCATTTAAATGTATGGTGAAAAACATGATTAAATGGCAATTTTCGATTCTTCATCCTTCCATTTATAATATAATCATGAATATAATGGACTGTATTTATTTATCATTGGATAATCAATCACAGAATCACTTTTGAAATTATTTACATAGAATATCGACATTATAATTGCCACCATCAATGTTCTGACATAATTATCTAGAGGCTAGTATAACTTCAATCTGAGCTGCCTAAGAAACCATAATTACACAATAAGTCATTCATCCTAAAGAATTTAATCGAAAGTAAAACCTGTATTTTATATTTTATAAACAGACGCCAAGTACCATTAACTATTTTCAGATGTCCAATTAACGGCCATTTAATAAATTTATTTGGTTCTACTACAGCAAAGTGCTGACTAATCAACCGGGACTTTCCTTTGATGAAAGAAAAGAATTCAGTTTTTCCTTTTTATTATTGACTATTTACAGATCTTGAAGACATATAGCATCTAATTTGTCAGTAGCCAGAACTTTTATTCTAATCAGCTATATTTTGAGACTCATTTTTATGTCATGTTATGAATATTGTTGTCTTATTTAGACAACTGAGTTTAGGTCAATTGATTTGAAACACTCTTTAAATATGTTCTTACATTTGATGGTGGACGTTTATTCTCATAATAACTTAGAAGTGATCCCACATTTTTATGCCAATTTAAAGGTGTGCACTTGATTTTTTCTGTCATATAATTAATAGAGTCTATCAAGATAGAAAATATCTTAGATAATTTATATTATCAGTCTATCTGAAGAATGATTGTCTGCTCTTATTTGATCATTACCAATCAAATATACATTGAATGATATTTCACTCTTTTTGATGTCATATTTAATGGTTGGGAGGCTAATCCAAGAAAATTCAATAAATTTCACGAAAATACTAATGAGTCCAAACGATTGGTTACAAAGATGTGGACATGGACGAGAGTGTTCTAGAATAAACTTTATTTCTGGCAGAACTAGTTTGTGAGTGCGTCACAAACTTTTCTCTGAAGAATGATGAATTCATCATTTTAATGATCAAATGATGATCCTCAACTGATGCATGAGTAACCGGCTTTAAATGAGTGATAAAAAAACGAGTCATTGTTATGACAATCCAATTAAATTTCTATATATAAACTCTCTATAATTTAGGTAACAAGTGGGAATCTACTTTCTCTAACATTTATTTTTGAGTGCTATATATCTGAACATAAATATTCTTTTATGTATTATACAGTGAACAAGATGAGGGCAAATATGTTTAATAAATACTAATAACTGATAGTTATTAGCTGATAAATATTTAACTCTGGAAATCTGAATTTTTTACCTCTCACAATTAGCTCCAAGCTATTAGAGCGATAACCACCATACGTGCAGCTCCAAAATCCGGCAGAAGTAGTTGTAGCAATATCCAGTTTATAAATAACTTCTTGCAAACGCCAACCTTTTGTAATCTTTGAATTTTTTAACTGTGACGTCCATAATAATTCAGGATTAGGGACTATTCTAAATTGTCTGGTACACTGAAGTAGCCATGTAGAATCCACCAATAAACAATCCTGAGCACAGTATGCAACACTCATTGGACAAAATAGGAAAACAGATTTTTCAGTTTCATGAGTCCCTGAGTCGAAGTCATAGTTATCATCTGATTCTAAAGTCCATATACTGCATATAAATATTTTTGATTCTCCAGCCTGAACCATAACTTGAGTTTGATTCTTATCAGTTTCATCCCATGAAGCTTCAATAATTATAGTACTCTTTTTATTAGGATAATCTATTAAACCTAGTTGTTGAATTGTATTACTCTGATTATTTTGTAATGTAATTTTTATATTCCAACTGCAAAATGTTACTGAAAAGGCAAATAAAGAGTTTGTATTATTTACTAATATTAACTTAACGAATATTCCATAGATCTTTTTTTCTGTCAATAAAATACATTACAATAAAACAAACTACCAACAAACATTTTATCATAATATATATTTGCTTTCACAAGCCTAAATAAACATTACTTTTATATATAATCAAATGCAGGGAGGAAAAATAATTTAAGACTTTTATTCGTTTCCCATTTATAGAGGTATCAAACTACTACAATGTTTCAAGCATAATAAGATACATTTATATTTCATATATTAGAATAAAAATACATGAAGGTTCATTGACTAGCTTATAGTATTACTCGTTTATAATGAAAATATTTGTAAATTTGGATGCATTAAAAAACAAATAATAATTATATACTCAGTGTGCTACTTGAGATTGCTGAAGTATCTTTTGTATCCTAGTGAAGCTTAATTTAAGAGTAGCTTCTGAGAACTATTAATGAACTAATTATATATATATATATATATATATATATATATATATATATATATATATATATATATATTTATATTTATATTTATATATAATTCTATTATATAAATGTTCAGCAACTGGACTATGTGTACCTATGTTCCTCTTATTATAAGCTTCATTTTGATTTATAGATTATTATTATACGATTTACTGTTCTTAAGTTATGTTCAGTTTATCGATTACAGTCTCCCACGTTCACAGCCACATTTTGTATAAATGTTATTTCCTACTTTATGGTGTGAAGTGGTCTGTTTGGCTGGTATATAAACCAAGTATGTTTGAAGTAAATGATTCGCATAGCGGAAGCTATGGTGTTCTGGAATTAACTGAACGGGCTAGGGGAGCAAAGGATCAATAAGGACGCTAGACTGCTCATACCGGTCGAACGTTATTGGTTTAGCTCAGTACAAGAGTGAATAAGTCGTATTAAGATTGGGGAATAAATCACGTGATAAAAAGCTGAGCTTTAAGTCACAACAGCATCCTTTTTCAACCATATTGGTTATAATAATAGAGTTTATCAAGTTAATTAGGATGTTAAACAATAGTAATTAAAATTCGAGGAGAAAAAGAATTACCTCAGGACAAATAACGAAATAATTGACTTGATTACTTACTTACTTACTCACGTCTGTTACCCTTTGTGGAAGAACATAGGCTGTAGAGGCTAGTTTCCTCTATATCTAACTCCATTAAATAATATCCAGTTAACTGAGTATTCATTGCAGGCTAAATCTCCCAGTAGAATTATAGATTTACTCGAGATTATTCAAAAGCCTGAGAACCAGCTACAGAGATAGCTTTTTGTTACAGATTAGTAAAATCCACAAGCGTACAGGAAGCAAGCACACAGGGAAAACAAGAGTGTGTGTGTTAAAAATCCATATGTATTTATGAGTGTTAATCAAGTATGGATAAATTATTGATTGTCTATGTATTTTAACCAATGGGAGAATAGATTAAAAATTGATGTGCAGAAATGTGCTCAATCATACTCATACAGAAATTTGCATTGTGGATCAAGTGTCTAAATTACAGTGATCAGATAAATAATACAGTAGTTGAATGGGCTTACTACAAGACCGCTCATCAGCACTCTCCGTCCAACTCTATCCTGGGTAATCCTTTCCAGGTCTTCCCGGTTGCTATTCATTCTTTTCATGTCTGCTTCCAATTCCCAATGTAGTGTGTTCTATGGTCTTCTTGTTTTCCGTTTTCCTTGAGGATTCGAAGTTAGGGCTTGCCTCGTGATACAGTTCAGTGATTTCCGCAGTATATGTCCTGTCCACTTCCAATGTCTTTTCCTGATTTCCTCCTTCAATGGGACCTGGTTTGTACTCTCCCAAAGTAGGCTGTTGCTGATGGTATTTGGTCAAAGGATGTTGGGTTTTTTGCATAGACAACTTTTTATAAATGCTTGTACCTTTTTGATGATGGTTGTAGTAGTTCTCCACGTTTCAACACTGCACAGTAAGACTTTCTTGACGTTCGTATTGAAGATTCTGACTTTGATATCGGTTGACAGTTGTTTTGAGTTCAATATGCTACTCAATTGTAGGAATGTGGCTCTTGCTTTTAGAGAACTTGATTCTGTGAATTATTGGATCTTTGTTCATTAATTATCAACACGATTTTGCTGTGGTCTACAAGTTCCCTATTTTGTCAACGAAGATCCTTAATAATGAAGTTAAAATGTTTATAACTGTCAAATGTGACAAGTAAACATACATTAAACCAAAACTCGATTACAGTGTAAAAAAATATTTCTTGTCAAAGTGAAACAGAAAAAACTGGGTGTTTATTATCTGACATTCATATTTAAAATATTCTCGTTCGTTTTTGGATTTATTATACATTAAATTCAAGTCAATTAAAAAGTTCTGAAGTGATAATGTGAAGTTTTAATATCTGTAATTCCATAGAATTCGGAACTATAGTAAAGAATATACAAAGCACCTCTACCCTACATATTTGTGAATTAGATCCAATAACATAGAATAGATATCTGAGTAAACTAATGTGGTTGAAGAAGGATGCTGTTGTGACTTCAAGCCCGACTTTTTATCATGTGATTTATTCCCCAATCTTAATACGACTTATTCACTCTTGTACTGAGCTAAACCAATAACGTTCGACCGGTATGAGCAGTCTAGCGTCCTTATTGATCCTTTGCTCCCCTAGCCCGTTCAGTTAATTCCAGAACACCAATAACTCTTATCTCCATGAAATATATTTGTTATATTTTTTTGCTCCATATCCGTTATTCATATTACCACAATGTATGTAACTATTATGGAAAACTTCGTAGCCAATTTTTCATATGTCTAGAGTTATTATTTATTGTACTATACCTTTTAATTTAAATGCAGTAAATACTTCAAAATTCAGTTGTTTGTAACTACCAGATTTTTTTATAACTAAAATATTATGATAAAGTTTTCAGAATTTTAGGTCTCTCATTTCTGTCATTTAGTTTATCTAAAAAAATCTGGCATCATACTACTATTATAGTCACTGACCAGAAAAGAAGTAGAAACATATTTGATTTATCTACATTAACATATCTCTGTTAAATTTAATTTCCAGGTCATGGTCAAGTAATATGACTAATTCTTGTAATATTTTCAACAAATGTCCTTCTATGCATATATATATATATATATATATATATAACGTCATAGAAAAACAAATTGAAATCCGTCTAAAGAATGGTATTATTTTATTCGTAATTACAAATCAAGCACTTATTTGACTTTTGATTTAAGTGATCTTGATTAAAAAATTTTATGAAAATGCTCTGACTACTACGTGAGTGACCAGATTGTCCCAAATATATGTAGCAATTACAACAAAGTTTCAAGATAAACATCATCCTGTTGCATCAGCGAAACATATAAGTTTAATTGTTGTTCTTTTAATAAGATTATCCTTCCATTGTAAGTTAAATAAAATAATTTGAACAAAAGATTACTAATCTATTATTAAAATGTTTAGAAAAACTCGTGTTTTCGATTATCCAATAGTAAAAATAACAATAGTAGTGTGTATAATTTCAAAGGTAATGACAACAATAATAAAAGATGTACTGCTGATTAATTCCATAAGGAAGAGAAATGTTTGCCTAATGCTATCCGATTTTCGAAGGCTGGATTACTGAAATCAGTCAGTGATATAGAGTTTAAAAATCAATAAATGCCCACGAACATTGTGACAATATTAATTGGGATCATGAACCGATCAATATTAGACCAGTCTGGAAAACCTGGAGGCACTGGATAGCTATTTCCTCCTAGTATGGGACTACTCAGCAGTGCGCACCCACGATCCGGCAATAACGATAGCAACAATTATAGTAATAAGTAAACGATTCAAAACATACCACAATTTTAGCAACATTGGACTTTAGAGAATATTAAAATGAATACATTTTCCGGATAGTTCTTTAAAGTACTTTTACCAAGCATGTTATATTTATTGTAACATTTACAGATGTACATTATTTTGATACATTCTTAAACATATTATGAAACAGAACTACAATTTCTAGCTCGATGAGTCTCAAGAAATGATATCTAAAAATACTGTTTTTAAAGTATTATGAATCATAAACGTTGACAGCCACAGGTTTAATTGTCCTGTTCAGTTCACAGAGGATTCTACTAAATAGCTATGGTCTGAACAACTATAAAAATTATAACCACTATATTTTATATCTAATCTAAGTCGAAGAAAGCATGATTTCATGATGCATCATGATGAGTTTTCTTAAATTCAAATGACTCAAAATAATTTTTATATAAATGTGAAGAAAATACATCATTTCACTAAGTTAACACTTATACAAAGAAATAGATGATTGTTTTTTTACAGATAAATAATTTAATTTAATTTAGTAGGGAACTACAATGAATGGTTTCTCAAAACGTCTGAAGTTTGTTCACCGTAGTAGTAGTTAATATTGATAATTTTATTAGATAACTTTAGAGTTTCATCAATGAGTATACGATCTTTTAACGGGTATTCAGAATGTTAACATTCGCAGAAGGGATGTAGTTAGGTCAATAAGGAAGTTAGAAAAGTTAAAAGTAATAAATGGCTTTTTTTTCTCATTCTCATAATCTTCTCATGGATAAATGTTATTACACAATTATCTAATGTTTGTTAGTAACATGAGTTCTAATCACTATTTCAATATTCTGGAACTTTCCCTCTCAAACTGTATTCATTTATCCGAAACAAACAATTTTTGCGACCCTATTAACTCTATTAGAATCTTCTCTACATCATGATACACATATCCATCTCTAATCACCTTCGTATTTATAAGTATGTCAATATCTGTAAGCAGCTGATGTGAACCTAACGAAATAAAATGAATTCATATTATTCTGTGCCAATCTTCGTTCTTGCTCCCTTTAATATAAAACTTTTATTACAAAATAATTCTTTGCTTTTACAAAATTACAAAACTGGAAACTGAGATAACAACTAATATAAACATTTTTTTGGAGACTGCAGCAATCTTTAAGCATACGTACAAAAATAAAATATTTGATAAACTACTTTTCATTGATAATAAAATTATTCTGAAGAACATATACTAATAAACCATTTGAATTCAAACGGTTTATTTAATTACAAGAGGAAATTGTAATGATTCATTTGAAAAACTATCAAACTATGTCAATAAGATGATTGTCAAGTTATCGACTTGTAAGTTTGACAAAAAGTAGAAATTTTATCATAAAAATGGTTACCACCATAATATAAAGAAATATATATTCCAGTGGTTGAGATCATGAGTCAGTTGAAGCTAGACAAGCATGGAAAATCAGAAAGCACTGGACGGCCTATTGTGGGACTCCTCAGTAGTGCACGTTCTTAATAGGCCGGCCAGTGCTTCCAGGTTTTCTATGGTGGTCTAGCTTCAATTGACTCATGATCTCAACCATTGAAATTACTATAATATCCACAAAACCCTTCAAATATTTATTCGTTCAAAAAATTTTGTTCTCTCGTTCTCTTGTATTTAAGTAATAAACAAATACATTTACAAATTTAGAAAATTGAACTCACTTAAAAATAAATAATTCATTACAATCAGCGGTATTGTTCTCATTCCAATTCACTGAGGAAATAAAAAAATGAACATAATAATATTAGATTTTTTATTAATTCACAAAAATAATTTTGTTTACCCCCCCCCCTAAAAATTACTACTGCTTTGTTTTAATCTAACTCTAGTGATTATCCCAGTATAATTAAGTGTTAGTATCAAAGCATTCTAATGTAGATCAGGGTTTATATTTTCTAAACAATTAAAATATTCCAGTAAGCTATTATGGATTTCTGCATCTTACAAATGTTATTTTGTGAAATCAAATAAAGCAATGTACTTTTTTTATTGTTAAAATAATTTTCACAATGAACTGATATTAGTCAAGGAATTGTAGTGTAAGACGATGATCAACTGTCTTGGAACCTATCAGTGATACATAGCTATTATTTCACATGGGATTAAACTTTAAAAAAATATGTTCTACAGGAACACATGATGCATATTGGTTACCACTAAAACCATCGTGTTTTCAGTGAATGGGTTGATATTTCGCTCAAGAACTTAAAGTTTTGGTTCTAATACCATGGAAGATTGTGCGTTTCCTTTACTGAAGATTTCCAAAATAGAATGAAACCACTCGTCAAGGAGAACTGTTTTTTTACTGTTTGCTAGCTGATATTGTTTCGTCTCGAAAACTCTTTGATATAATATAAATTTAATCAGAGAATACTAAGGTAAATAATAACTATGTGCTGACAATTTACTGAATTGGAAATGGATTTCTAGAAAATCTAGCAGCAAGTAGTGGCTTGTTATATCAGCCAAGTAAGAAGTAAGACATTTATCCACTGACGATGTCAAGTAAGTTTAGTGCTATTTCACACTGGAACCAAATTAATTTAAACCAGTTAGTGAAAATTCCCATTTTGCCATTTGGTAAATAAAGAAGGAACGAATTGAGCGAAGAAACTGAAAAGAAATTTCTTCGCTCAATTCGTTTCTTCTTTATTAAACCAATTATCCTATTTGATGTATCAGTCATTTAGTAGAATGAATATCCAAATATTTCAAATATTTAAATATTTCAAGACTGATCATTACACACAGAGAAATTTCTGTTTTCTTGAATATATAAAACCATATTTTATCGTGAAGACAAATGTAACACCTTTTATGGACCTAAGCCTCTACTTTTTTTACATGACTGGGTTAGACACATTAACCATTTAAACAGAAACCCATTTACTGGGAATCAGTATTTAATAGACACCATTGGTTCAAATCTAGTGAGTGATGTTGACAAGGATCGTAATAGGTTACTTAAATAAAATTACATGAAGATTAGATAACAAATATTGATTTTGATAATATTTGGCTTTATATAAAATTTTACATTTAATATACCCGATAAGACTACATTGACAACTTCTATTTCATTGGTACATAAATCTTTATAATTCATCAAAATAATGCACTAGCTCTACTGTTACACTTTTCACCAGTAATAAATTACCAACTTCCGAAAATCTACATCAATTAAACCATTCAAATAAAACATATCTCTCCACATATAAGGTTATTAATTACTTTTTCGATGTTTAGTAAGTGTGTGGAATCAAGTATTTTCAGGCATTTTTCCGTTTATTTATTGGATGAATGTTGTATCTAAGAGTATATTTATCGTTACATATTTCATTCTAGACCCTAACTTTCATTTTATTTTCGTTTTTCTTCCAGCATATTGTTCATAGCGGATCGATGTGGATTACTTAAGCTACTTGAAAGGAAATATCCGGTAAAAATCACACTCATAGATATAATAATCACACATCAAACGAATGTGAAACCGTTTAACGATATTTGATACTGCACATTTATTGAGTAGTTAAATACCTATAGATAGCCTTACACTCTGTTCGATATTTAATGATTATTTTACTCTCTTAGTTCTTGTCCGTTTATATATATTCAATATTATTAACTAAGATTCACTTAACCCATATCTTATATTAGTAATCAATCATCAATGTTCATTCAGAGCTGATGTTTTAAACGTGATGATTTATTCTAATATGACCTCAATGAAAAATCATATAATATTTGTGATAAATGACATGGATGAACGCAGTCTAAATTATATAAAGCAAGAATAAACAATAAAAGTACATTGGCTGGTCAAACATCTCACATTAATATGACAAACTAGCGACTGAATACATGAATATGCTTTGTTACTAAGGCAATGTTATTCATAAGAAAAGCATAGATTAGACTAAAAAATATATGATGACATTTTGCCTTGTATGCATGTGATTAAAGTGACTGAAGTTTCATGAAATGCACTAATACAACGTAAAGCCATTAAATCTATTGTTGAACAGTATATATATACTTAGTATCATTTAGAGACTATTCTTATTGAAGACAATCAGTGGGCTCACAAGTTAAAGTTCTTTCAACAAAATAAAATAAATGCTAGATATTTGGTTATTAAACAATTATCTTGATAAAACATGCTCTTCCAAAGTTACTCGTCAGTATTTTGTACATTTTAATGGTGTGACCATTCATTAATAAACGGTTTTACATTTGACATCAATAACATTGTAACTATTCATGTATTTTGTTCACCGCTCGAGTTTTTTATCTTCACATACTGAGACGTTTGACAACGAATCACAAGTGTAAATTTTAATCATATTTTCAGCAATCTAATAATATTTATCCAGTACATAGTAACCGCAGTCCGTCTATCAAAATATGAAGTTTGAAATGAAAATCGTAATCAATTTTTCAAATAAACTGGTATGCATGATTAGTAACATCTAGTTCTCTTCTGAAGCATTTTAGAAATGGATAATGAAGAACACAATAATCACTCAGTAACTTTAACAAATAACGCTTTTCTCTTCCTAGCTACTATTATCACATAATGTGTTGTCCCATAATGCACACATACTAGTATCCATTTGTTAAAGAAAGATACTTATTTTCATATATTCCTCAAAATTTTGAACAGTATCTCTAAATCGTAATTATATAGTTTCCCGTTACAGGTTTCTTCATTTTTACTAACCACAAAATAGTCTAAGATTGGAGATGAATAACAACACACATATCGTAGTAAAAAATGTGTGTGTTGTGATAAGACAAATCAATATTTTCTCACACAGGCCATTTGGCTTTCAAATCACGAATACCCTTAAGCGACTTCAGCTTTATTAATATTCACTAGTTAGCTACAGCCCTATATTTCAGAAGTGTACCACATGTTTTTTCATTAAACGCCCTTACATTCTGTGTTGTGCAAAAATATCCCGGTGTGACATACCTATTTAATGTAAGATAGTTTTTTCTTTCTAGATGTCGTTGTATCTTTTGTCCGTCATATATCTCATCAACTGATAGAATTTTGTCCAAGACGAACGGCGATGTAAGTTTTTGCAACTTTTCTAACTACCAGATTGTTTTCGTACACGGGTTAGTTTTCTCAATGTCCTATCAATATTTACTTAAAAACTAGATTTGGACGACAACGGGGATCATGTCATTAATTAATCACAAAGTGTAAACGGTTTTGTTTTAAAAATTCCAGTGTCATGTTCTGACATTTTGACATTTCAGATATCAAAGTACTTGGTGCCCATATTTTCTACCAATCAAGAGAGTAGATTTTTATCCTGACAAGACAACAAGACAACAATAATGAACATTATAAAAAATCATTTCTGAGTTTTCGTGAGATATACTACGTATTAAAACAAATGATCAGCTTGCGTTTGTAGAGTTTTTTGAATTTCATTGAGAAGTCTCATATTAGAATGAAACGGCCGTCTAGTGCTCCCAGACTTTAAATGGTGATTTAGCATTTACCAGTGCATGATTTCACTCAGTCTGTGTTAATTAATTCATCGAAAACCTGTAAATGAAGCTGTGATTGTCATTCACTTATTAATTTTAATTTCCAATTAACATGCTTGTAAATCACCAGAGATTATTCAAGCAATGATGCCTAGTAATGTGTGCTGTTTCGGATACATAATACCTTTTCCCATCCCAAACTATCTATATTAGTCGCTGTTCTAATCGATCTATTACAGTCATTTTTCATTTTAATGAACTACTCACCCAAGCTTAGTATTTCCCATAATTTTATTTATTTATTTATTTGAACGCATAGATATTGGTACAAGGAGGCACCAAATACATATGCACCACACAAATCTCATTTGATATGTATGAGGGCTGTGATACTGTCCGGGTGCCCAAACTGAAGCAAGTGGTTTTCTTACAGGGCCACATCCGGAGCATTCGACCTCAAGGTCTGATCCACAAGGCGGTGGAGCAACGTAAGGAGATGCAGTCCCATGGTAGCCGGTGACCAACCATTGCTTCATACGTCATTTGTTTCTTCAGGATACAGAAGCCCATGGGCACCATCGGTTTGGAATCAGGGTTTCCCAACCCCCCCTGGGTGGACTCTCCATAACCACCGACCCGGTTAAAGCGCCGGAGGTTTACTTTTCGTCCTCTCAATTTCGTAAACAACCCGTCTCCCATTATTTACTACCTAGATGTAGACGTAGTTCTTAGTTAATAAGTTTTAATGAAAGACTTCGTATAATAAATCTATATTTGTCTCTGAGGCATTTCGTTCATAAGAATTCTTTTCCATCTGTCTTATTTACAGTCTCCTTGCTTAACATAATCGGAACTTAAGAATACTGATATATCGAAGCATATATACTAAAGGAAAAAAATCTTCTTGGGCATAAATTATATCCTGGTGATCACGTTTAGAATACGGATGAATGTTTTTCTTTTAAATTAGATAACAGAAATCTACTCAAAATCTTTTGGTCAACATAGAGTCTATGTGTTCATTGTTTTACTTATCATTTACATAAATGAATGAATAATATTTTTACCATAAACATTTAAACTACTTTTAACATTTGACATCATAACTTACAACCTAAGAAGTGTTATATTCAAAATATGTAACATATTAAAGACTAGATTATTGCTTTAAGTCTAGTAAAAAATTCTATATTTCAAAAGTATCTATTTATTAAGCGAAGATGGATAGTGGCTATCAGTGGACTGGAGGATGTGCATTTCGTCCTAGTTGAGACTTGTATGTCAGAGTTGGTGTTCACTCTGGGATCTAAGGCGATATCAAGGCAGTTCGAACAGGATACATACATGCCAACAAGAGATTGATCAAATGCAGTCTTTAATAGCAATAGGAAGATACAAATAAACAAGATCAAGCGAATGTTTATTTATTTTTAGTAAACAATTTATTTGTTATTTTTATAACAATAAAATATATTGTGTATTCAATCATTTAACACTTACCCTTTATAAATTAAATAACTAATCCACACAATTTTTTATACATGTTGATTAATTCAAATAATTTCCTTTTATTGTTCCATATTTATTACATAATCATTTATTTATTTAATTATCATCCATGAAGATTTAAAACGAAACAATAAAATTCATTATATAATTACCATAGTAGAGATTATCAATGAAACTTTAATTACTATTACAATTGAATGTAACTAATATGTATGTATTTAAAGATTTTTTGTGGAAAGTTTTTATAAATTTGTCTGTCATACTTCCTATCCTTAAGAGTAAAATTTTTCTTCTTCCCCCTACTTATTCTAATGTAAGTTTTCATATTCATTCTTTGCTGTTATTGTTGTTGGCTTTTCTATTTCTGTCTATATACTTTCTAATTCTCTTCTTATATTCGCTAAAGCCTAGATAACAAATTAACTTAGCATTTAGCTCGCTAGCTAGCTATTGTCCTCTCATGATATGTCAGTTGTTTTACATGTGACTAAGACCAATTTTTTTAAAGTTTGTCTTATTCAAATGTTTATTACTGATTTACTTTAACATTATATACACACAACCACAAAATATTATGTTTTGAGGTAAAATATCGAAAGAATTTTATAAAGCCTAGTTGTACCATGTTGTTTCTTGCGTATTTATCTTCTTTCATAATTACATGAAAATTTACAAAGGAACCAAATTTTAGGTGTACACTAAAATTCATGAATACAAACATAAGTTTACAAATGAGGTAAAATAAGGTAAACAAAGTACAGTTTCATTAGTCGTACTACACTAAGTAGTTTACTTTATGGTCCAAATCTACCTTATATCATATTGAAAGCATTTTAAATAAGAAATTATTAAAGTTTAATATGCCTCAAACTATTATTTGATTTCGACAGTTAAGTATTATTACGGGTTTGTAGATTTTCTTGGAAATGAATTCCGTGGGATTCTACCTACAAAAAGAAAGTTATTTATCTAAATTTGGATCGAAGTGATTTTTTCAGAAATTGCCGGTTTGACAAAGTCAACGTTCTATTACTTCTTTTACACACTGTTTTGTTTTTCAGTTTATGCATAGTTGAACGACAATTTACATAAGTAATTTACTTTTAATACTAAATAAATCAGTAGATGGTTCATGCGATTTTTTCATTGAATCATGATAGCTTGTCGATTGTTCAGGCAATTAAATAATCCAAAATATAAATTTCACATTTTTGTCTGGAGCTCATTAATTTAATTAGAACTTTTTGTTCATACTATCATCATTGTTTTCCTTCACCTCCGTCATTCATGTACGTAGATATAAAAGCCCATTACTCATCAATCATGTGTAGTTATATAAATGAGAAATTAACTCACACAATAGCCATAACTCTTCTGGGTTGATTTGTTAAACAGATCTTTTGCGCATACATTCAAAAGTTATCAGATCACTGATAAACAATAATTTTAAATAGTGTGATTAGTCGAACGAGATAATTTTAGGTTCTATTTCATATCAGTCATTTTCAACCAAAATCAAAATGATTATACAGACATTTTTCGAGGTTTTCCGGAAAACTAAGGGAAGACAGCGTTACGGTTCTATTTACTTCAATCGAACAAAACTCATTACAGATGACATACCACACCTATCTACCAACAGCGAACAACTCCGAGAGCAAGCGCGCATACGACTGTCAGGTTTGGATCCCCTCACAGATCAAAATGGTTTCTTTCTAATAGTTATGTTTACAAAGAGACCAAAGAAACTAAAATTGGAATGCCCATATCAAGACTAGTAGCGGAGGCAACTATGCAAAAATCAAGCCTACAGGGTTGTCACAAATTAAAACAGTAATTTCAATAAACTACGTGGATTAAGCATTTGTATTCCTATAGTGGGATAATTTCAGTAATCCTCATAAGTTTATCAACAATATCCTAGAAAACAACAAAAAACACAAGTGAAGGTGAGTTGCCAAAACAAATTGTTGTCTTAGAAGTTTTAGTCAGCAGGATGAACATAAAAGTTGGAAAAACCCATGTTTGCAGGAAACTACACTACACAGACCACATAATGAGCTGCAGCAATAGCAATCCATCTGGGCAGAGTGAGAGCTGTGCACAAACATTATTAAGAAAGGCTGGAACTGACCACATGAAAAATTGAAGAAACTTGTCTATTTAACTGTCTGAGCAACTTTATCAAAAGGTGAGAAGGGTCGGTCGATTATATGGTCAGAGGTTGAACAAGTGAGACAATCAACAGAAACATAATGACAAATAAAGAGAACGGAGCTGCAAAGACATTAAAAGCACAAGCTACATAGTTAAAATAAACTGACTTAACTTTTGGTAAAATATCCGGGAAGTTAACCTCTGGATGATGTAAGCGCTAAAGATGTTTTCTAAAACGGCAATGAAAGATTCGTCTTTACGTCTGAGATCACAAAACCATGTGAAGTTTCCATTTCGGAAGGAAATCTTCAAGATTATCATTCACTATATGTTAGAAAAAGTTATATATATATATATATTATTTAAAAATAATAATCTGATCGTCTTATGTTTTTCAAGACAATGAGAGTGCAATAATCATACTTGATCTTTATAGATTTTAGGTAAATTTTGATGCAGCGTAAAACTTTTAGTCATGCACCATTTCCTTTTATCTTGAAGCTAATCTATTGTGAATGAAACAGGATGCTATAGTTTACTAAGGGATTGACGGTCACTTAATGTAAAGTATTTCAATATTACAATTCAAAATAATGGGATGCTGGTTTCTAGATTGTAGTTTTTTTATCTACTTAACTGTATGTTGGATATTTCAAGTCTTGTATCTGTAACAAAAGATTGGAAAATTCATTAACAAGAAAGTATGCTTTTCATAAATGTTTCGATATACTACCATAATTGCCAACAAGTTATACCGATGCTAGAAGCAAACTAGATATTGCAATATTATTCATTTTATTTTGACAAATTCTAATTGATGTCACATTTTCATCTTACTAAAATCAAAAGGAACTGTGATGACCAGTAACTTAGTCTAGTCTAGTCCAGACAAACAATAGTTCATCATATGCCGAGAAAGTGATTCTTTGAGAACAACCTTGGAAGTTTCAATGCTGATTTGTTTTCCTGAGAGTTGTTGACACACAAGTCAATCGTCTTAGTCAATCATGAATTACTGGACAGAGAAGCGACATTTCGAAACACCATGTTTTCCCCCATTTAGTTCGTATATTTTATCTAGGAAATTAATTTACAGACATCTTTGACGCTTCTGTCATTAACTAATTCATGTCGGGGTTCTAAGATTCTAACCAACTACCGTGTGGTTTTAGGGTACGAAGAATTGTATATATCTAAATACGAAATAATAGTAAGTTCAGACTTGTGAACTCTGAGTTAAACATACAGCTGTGGTATGTTTAATCCGACAGATTTAAACGAATTATAAATGGTTGTAGTTATTATCTATTTGTCTTTAAATTCTTTGAGAGAATTAGTCAGCAGCTTCTTTGATTTCATATTTATATCTTTACTATAGCTACACATTTTGGAATTTATTGGGGTTATTCAACACCGAGTTTACGTTATCGATGTATTCTGATTAGTCCATTAAAACTAGAACTAGGACGAAACGCGCATCCTGGATTCAACTGCTACTCACTATCCATCTTTGCTTATTGTAACATTAGTTCAACAACTAGCTTCAACTTGTGTTGAAAGTAACCTTATCAGAATAGAGTTTGTGGAGATTTCAGTAGTCTAGACGGTAGGTATTCGTGCACAAGACCAAGGGTCGTGCGTTCAAGTCCCGCATGCGGGATCGTGGATGAGCACTGCTGAGAAGTCCCATACCAGGACAAAACAGGCTTCCAGTGCTCCCAGGTTTTGGATAATGTTCTAGCTTAGATTAACTCATGAATTCAACCACGAAAATCACATTCACTATATGTGTGTAAATTTGGTTAGACGCTTTGAACCTGTCTGGATTGCTGACCTTTTTTGCATGCATAAGCCTTTATAGGTGTGGAAAAATAGATAAATTTTTACAATATTAGTCATCATTATGTCGTATAAGTATGCAGGGCTTCTTTATTGTCCATCTAGGTATGGTTCAGACAATTGGTGTTCAGAGTCCCTAAACATATGGTTAATAAAGGTCATCAAATAAATTAAAACGATTCACATAACAAATGTTTGATTATTAATTAGTGGGTGAGGCTTAATTACACATGAATACATTTGTTACAAAAACAATCCCTAATTGCCACAATCTCTTCAGAAATGGCACAAATCTTGCAGAAAGTCTTGTTTCCTTGTTTAATGAGTGAATACATAGACATAAACCTAGCTACTAGACCAAGTTCACTAGATATTTTAGAAAGACTTTAGACCCTGAGGATAGTATGAAGCTCATGGATCATATCCATCTATCATCTGGTAATTTCCGTCGGTTACTATGGGATATTGTTTGATGTTGCCGTCTACATTCATTCTCACCCCCAAACGTTACATTTTTAAGTGGTAAATCCTTTGTACAGTAACACAAGTATGTGATTTACTGTAATATGTTTATCACAACAACGTCCAAATGATAGAAAAGAAGGGTTATAGATTTACATTAGATTATTTCAAACATTTAAAATGATAGTAGTTACTAAACCAAGTCATTTAAACGCACATTTAGAAGACACTTATTTCTGAAAACAAAATGTGTTAGCACTGATTATCGATTACAACAAAACGTTGTACCAACAACACAAGATATCCTTTACATATTATAACTACCTTATGTTTGTTGTCAGACCAGCAATATGACGTTATTCACGAACATTGCAGAGTGGTGGACTTTAGCATTTACTTACTAGAGCATATATTTTCGTCATGATATATAGTCAAGGCGTTCTAGAAACATGAGTTAACTGAATACGTTAATCGCCTGTTCTTAAATGATATTCAATTCAATTCACAGGCATTTTCCGGTACCTAGTTTACTGTTACTATAACACTATCCGATTTTTACCTTATCATAACCACTGAGAGTAATGTAAGAAAATCGTTGATTTGGCTTGATATAAAACAATACCAAGTTATTACCATATGTTTAAATGCTTAACTATTTGGGTATTCTTCTCCCTACTTAACTCTTCCATATTTTGGGCATTTTCGTATAAAAGTTAGTCGTTTATCACGATGG